GCAGCAGCAGAAGGTTCTGGCAAGCTCGTCAGCTGTTGGCTGTTTGGTTGGGCACACTCGTCTGTGATCCGACACTCCTGTCCTGTTTATACTGAGCTGCAAACCGTAAAGGAAATGTCCATGTATATCCTCATTTATGGTAACTGGTTGAGTTTATAATTTGCACTAAATTACGTACAAGAGGTTAGATATTAAAACTTTCCTTGGTCACAGTCTCTCTTGTGTACTGCAGCTTTAATACACGCTGCATGAAGATAGCAACCCTTTGATTTTTTTGGGTCACCTATTTCGTAGATGAATAGCTCAGGGTGGATTATCCCCAAGGTTGTGACATCAATCCTCTGCAGTCAACCACAGATGCATCATAGAAATGACATTAGCCCTCTGGCATGGCTTGTCTTGTGACAGTCAAGTTCAGCCAATGTTGATTTGAGTATTTATTTTTTATTTGCGATCAAATTGTGATCATGTTTCAACATGAGGGTGGATATGGGGCGGTGGGACAGCTCACTAAGCTGTCTCAAGGTGCATCTGTCATTCATACAAGGAGTGACGCTAACTGAGTTACATGTTTTGTCAAGAAAAAGAACTGCAAAACCTCACAACCTTACCTAAAAGAAGCTATTTTATTTTATGTTATCTTATTTATTTATTTATTGTCGTTTTTGGCCACTATATAGCTTTGTTGATTTTGGAGGTTAGTCTGGTTGCAGACCTCCACTGTCCGGAACAACCTCCACCGAGAGGACCCAAGGTGATGTTTTTTTCTTACACACTCGTTCGTTGTTGTTGTTTTTTTGTTAAAAAATAATATAATAATAAAATAAATAATAATAATAACAATAATAATAATAATAATAACAATAATAATAATAATAATAAAATAATAATAATAATAGTAGTAGTAATAATAGTTATGATAATAATAATAATAATAATAGTGAAAGTGATAATAATAATAATAATAAACAATAACAACAACAACATAGTAATAGTTATAGTAATAATAATAATAATAATAATTAATAATGATAATGATTAAAAATAAAAATACTCATGATGATGATGATTATTATTATTATTATTATTATTATTTTATTCTTTTTTTTTTTCTATCAGTATATTTGCTTTAATTTTGAAAGGCTTCCAATCAACTTCCAGTCTGTTCAGTGGAGTTGGGACCTCATAGTGGTGGTCTTCAACGAAGGGTCCTGACAGTGGAGGTCTGCAGCCGGACTGTCTCGGGATTTTGCAACAATGTAGATTCAAAGCATAAGAAGTGTTCAGGGTTTTGCATTCGTAGTCTGTTTGTAGTCCAAGTTGTCATGACCAATAGTGAATCGTCAGGTTTTGTTGAACAAGGGAAAGTAGACCAAAATACATAGAACAAAACTATCTTCTTTATGTAACGACTTAAGTTATCTTTCTTTTAGAGTTCCATCTGTTTAAGTGGGTAATATTCAACAAGAGTTCCACAAGGCTCATTCCTGGTCCCTCTGTACTTTGCACTGCTCTAATTGGCTCTGCTGTATATGTACACCTCATAGTATAACAGTGGGTCACAAAATGAATATCACATTACATCATGCTGAACTGATTAGTTAACTGCTTCCTGAATTAAGTTAGAGGTTCATTCTGTTTTATGTCGACTTTTAAACAACCGGACCTTTTTGCAGTTTCCCGGTACGAACCATCAAAAACGATACAGTTTGTACTTTGTTCACTTTTCAAACCTGGAGGCAACATCCAGTGCTTTTATGCTGCCGTCAACACTGCCATCATTGACTGACGAGGTGGCTGCATGAGACAGCTGTTCTCTGCCCCACCATCAGACCGACCACAGGCCTTACGCAAGTGCCATGTCATCAGAATTACATAATTATCTACATTTATCCAACTGTACGCCGCGAAGGTGCGTCACAGTGAATTTTGTCATTTCATGCCATATTTTTTGCCAAGGAGACAAATAAGGACACAAAAATCTGATAATCACAGGCAGTAATATTAAAACTTATAATAATGTTAATTAAAATAATGATCAGGCTCTGAAAAGAACAAATTGCATGAGTTATGTGCTTGTGGAAACCAGGAGTGACTCTGTTTTCAAGCATGTTCTCGCACATGTTTTGGCTTCTCTCTGCCGGGTTTTGTCCCACTTCCTGACTCGCTGAAGTCATAAGTCATTTTGACTGAATGGTTACAACTTGTGAATATCACTACCTGTTCTGTTCCTTTGCTGTAATCCACACACGCACTTCAACTTGTCAGAGCTTTACTTTACAGTCGGTATCGGCGCTCCGCTTTCTCGGAAATTACACAAAAATGGAGTAGCTCAGCGTGAGAGAGATCACTTCTGTCAAACAGATGGAAACAGAGAGTGTGATGATGCTTATCTTTGACCAAAAACAGAGGGATGAATCTGGTTGGAGTCCAGTTATCTTTGAGTAATTGTTGCTTCTTTTTTCTAATTAAAGGGTAAAGAAACATCAAATTTTCATGTTTCACGTTTGAATCAATTCCTGGTGAAACTTTGAGAAAGGATTAAAACCAGGAAATTTTAATGATGACTATAAATGAGAAAGGGCTTGGTCTTTTTTCTTACGAGAGGGAGGAGACTAAAGAAAAGGAGTATGACAATTTGCATATCATTGAAACCCTGAATTTAATCGAACAGAGTGAAAGACAATGAACCAAACACTGTAGGACAGACTAAGAGAGTAGTTTTTAAGATATTATTCTGAGCCCGTGTGGTGATTTCATGGCGGTTTTCTAAACAGAGCTGCCAGAGTGTTATTATGTTCTGTAGCTGATCAAATCCCAGCGCTCGAGATAATTTAGCAGATTACAACTCTGAAGAAAATGATTGCAATTATACACAGTCTCTTACAAAGTGGTGAACCTCTTCCCCTGTTTACTCCCGAGACATTCAACCTCTCTAAAATCTCCTTTTAACTCCCAGACATGTTGCTAATTAACCTAATTAGTTTATTTACTTATTTATTCACTCACTTATTTTCCATTGCACTTTGAGATCTTTTTTCTCAGATGTAAAGTGCAATATAAATAAAATGTATTATTAATATTATTATTTTTATTTTTTTATTTTTTTATTTTTTTTTATTTTTTTTACTACTACTACTACTATTATTATTATTATTTCCATGGCACTGTTTCTCAACTGTTTTGTTGTCCTTGACTCAACTTTTTTGTAAACATATGGCAAGTTTTAAATTTAAGATAAGCACATTCGGTATATATATATTTTTAATTAAACCATAAAGAAAATTCAGTTTTGATATGTTGGCACTATTTTCAATTTAACATTGGTTGTAAATGATTTGCAAACCATCTAAATGTTTTTTATTGTCGAATATCATCGACACCAGCAGCTCTTATAAGAGCCTCATTCTCACTGCAAACATACAGCTAAAGCTATTCCTAATATCGTAACTGTGCCTAATGTGCTGTAAGTTCAGAGTCAGGAGATTTTTCTGATATAATACCCCTCCTAAATATGTTCAGGAAGGACTTGATCCAGGCTGCACACACTTCCTCCTGAGTGATAAATATGCCTGTGATTTTAACACTGCCTGAAATAATGTGCATGAGCTGTCTCCAAGTGACACTCACTGAGATTAAACAGGAGGACTCTGAACTTTTATGAGAGAACAAATACTACATTTCAACTGGTCATATCTTTATGTTTTATCAGTTCATGCTGAGGTCTGGAGAATGGAATATGTCCACCGGCCCTTTAAGTGATTTTCCATCCAAAATTCTGGTGCTATCACCTTATTTAGATGAAAACAGATCATCCAAGTACTTTGTGTTCTGCACTTTTGTGTTTCACCATGTAATCTGAAGGTCAGGCGGATCAGCCTGCTGTTAATAAGCCAGTTCAGGGAGTCACCACGAGAGACGTCATCAGCATCATCGACGAGCACTCTCAGGCCAACACTGACTGTCGATTTCTCTCTGAGCACCCAACGCTGACTGAACATCTACCAAATTTGAGAAGTTAAACATCATCCCAGAGGTGTCAGGAGTCAAGGTGTGCTATCGCTGTCATCACAGGAAAGATGTTTTTGATCAAGAGCTGGATATTAATGCACTAAATGTGTCATTAAACAAACACCAGCGCAGGAATCAGAGAAAGGGAAAAGTCCATTGTGTTATATAATAAAAGCAATGAGACTCACTTAATGAGCGTTAATATAAATTATGTTCTCAAAGAGAAAAAAAGACGGTTCCCATTTTCAGTCCTAGTCCAAGCTTTGTGGCTGTTTCATTGGTTAATGTGGAAAAAGCCCCGCGGCAGCACCCACTTCCTATGCAGAGCCCAATCAAAGCGGCTCCCTGCCTTCCTGCGGACGTGTCAGATCAATAGACTCTGACTACGTCTCTTGCTGACAGAACAAAACTGTAAATGGAAACTAACTCAGGTTATGAGGAATCTATCATATCGCAAACAGGTCCCCCTCAGATACAACTTTATTGATCATATCTGAAGCCGAATATATACATACATATATTTAATGTTTATGCTGGATTACAGCAGGGGTTGTTAGATCACACAATCCTGGACGTTGGTGTGTTATGTAATCTATGTGGCAACGGATCACGTTGAGCCAATTGATTATTTCTATTTAAAATCACTGGGAAAAAAGTCAGAAATATTCATCATAATGAGCAGCCAATAGACATGACTTTTGAAAATATGAATACTGCCGAAACTCTTCCTGCGCTTCTCTTCACAGATTTCCAAAAAGGATCAAGAAAGGTCGTTCTTTCCATCGCTGTCATTGGAACTGACTTTGAGCAGGGCAGGCTGATAGAGCATGGCGCCTCTGTGGACTTGCAGCACTGGTGTAAGTCACTTTGTTGAATTAGAGCACGCTGGTATTTTCGGCCAAAGCTCCAAATTAGAAGAACAAGAGTGACATGATTCAGGTCAAAATGCGAAATTAAGTATTGTCAAATATCGTATGCACACAAAATGATTTTCTTGCATTTTTATTGAAAAAAGGACATTAACAGTTTTCAACAACTGCAATATCAATATACAGTATTTGCCTCTTAATTTACAAAAGATAAAAAATCTGTACAGTCTCTGGTTTGTGCAGGAAGTTGGGAAGACCCTGGTAGAAAAATAAAGAGCTAGGACAGGAGAATTGAGAGATCAGATAAAGCATCTTAACAGTTTTCCTTACCAGAGATGCAGAAGAGCGTTCCGGCGTTAATGTGCCAAAACACCTTCAGAGGTTACAGAAACACTAACGCTCAATCTCCTGTAAGACTGGAATCAAGTGTGCTGATTTTGCTCAGGGAAGCTTTCTAAGACGACATGATGTTCATGAAGAAAAAAAGCGAGGGCCCATTCAGAAATGACAAAATAACTTCACAAGACCCGCAGCAGCGAAGTGTAAGGGTTAACCGGGGAGTGTGCACGCCATGAACACTGATGTTTTAACATGATGTCAACTACGTCAAAGCAAATGATTTAATGTCCTGACATCCAACCGCTGAAAAAAAAAAGGGTACAAACCAAGGGACGGGTAACAGTTGTCTGTCTCTTCAATTTACACGTTTGGCTTTTGTGCAAAAACGGGGAGGAGGGAGACGAGGGAAAAGTGACACACTGTCAAATTCATGCTCGACTACGTCTACAAATAGAGGCGGCATCTGCAATCTTCATAACTGATACTCTGAATGACAAATAATACAGTTTGGCTCCTAGATTTCTCTCTAAACTTACAATATGTTACTTAGCAGCACTGATCATCAACATTCACAACCTCGGCTCAGGGCTGAGCTTCCTGCCATATTCTACCAAAGATCTGTATTGCACAAAGTCACAGTAACGGGGCACTATACTGCACAGAAAATCACCTTTTAATGCTTTTATTTGTTTGCTGTGACAACCGGTGCAATGTGTGCTTAATAGAAGCCGCACCTCTCACCAGGACAGCGAATTTCGTCACGGCACACATTGCAAAAGACGCCAAACTTGGACAAGATAATAAATTGAGGAGCATAGTGTGCTTGTGCTCATGATGTGTGCAAGATATCTTTGTCCTGCCTCGCATCACGGAGCAACATAAGGACCACCACGGCGAGATAGACTGAGTATGTTTTGCTAAGAGACCAGCTCATTAACAAACCTCTTTATTATTATTATTATTACTATTATTATTATTGTTAGCCTTTAAATAAAGATTCCTAAACTTGAATTCACAAAAATAAATTATTATTAGATTGGCATTTAAAGACAAATCTTGAAGTAAAGTTCCTTTTTGAATTAATATGATTATTTTTGGAGGGTAATTCAGCAAAATGTGCAAACTGGAAGTGGGTCCTCAAATCAATGCAATTTTGCTTTTTCTAGCATGTTTGTCTCTTTTTTTTTCAATCTGATTGGTGATTTAACTTTATATTTACGCACTTGCCAACTTCACAGCGTGTAAGTGATGGCGTCTACCCCGTTTCACCACTCTAGCTCCATGCAATGACTTTACATTTTCACCATCGACAGTGCAACACGTCTGCCGTCCTGTTGGTGAGTTTTTGCATAGAGGACTTTATACTGAAATCACAACTCTCTGCAAACTGCCATGCATTAAAAAACAGCATTCGGGACCAAATTCAGGCTACTTTCCACATACCCTGCCGTAGTAAATGACCCTTCTTTATCTCTGCACTCATATTTCTGATTCTGCTGTCAAAGGCCTTGATTCCAAAGGCAAAGAGTCAAGATTGCATTCAGAGTCTGACACCACGTCGGTGTTTGTGTCCTCAAGTGCAAAGACCTCGACACCCCTCATCTCCCTGTTGTTCTCCTCCTCCTCTTCCTCCTCTTCCTCGTCCTCCTCCTGCTCCTCCATTTCCACTTTTTCCAGAGCTACCTCGTTCTCATAGCAAAAGGAGTTCCTCGGGCTGGAAGCGTTGGAGTTCCTCTCAGCCAGTTCCCTGGCACTACAGTCAGGTGTGCTGGGCACCTCGTACGTGTTGTCAAAGCGCGAGTAGTCCACTTTGTAGTAGTTCTTCTCCTCAAAGAGTACAGGCTCAAAGCGGTGGCCCCAGAGGATCTCGCTGGCCACGTACGAGCTCCGACACTGTGTGGTCATGGCTGTGGCCTCAACCATGCCCTCCAGAATCACCACAATCTCAAACTCTGATGTCTCCAGCTCCTGTTTGCTCATCTCGTAGAACGGGCTGTCCTCGTCGATCTCGTGCACGATGGTGATCGGAGACACCAGGAAGATTCTGTCAATGCCACTATCGAAGCCCACGTCGATGTCCACCTGATCCAGCGGGATGTACTCGCCCTCAGTGGTGGTGCGGGACTTGAGTAGCTGGGCCCTGACATGGGCCTCCACCAGGTGACTCTTCCTGAGGTTTCCCACACGCCACATGAGGCAGAGTTTTCCGTCCCTCATGGCCACAGTTGCGTAATGGCTGAACACCAGGGTCTCGTTCCTCTTTTTGGGCTTGGCCATCTTAGCCATGACTGCACCGATGATGAAGGCATCGATGATGCAGCCAATGATGCTTTGGAAGACAACCATGAAGACAGCAATGGGGCACTCCTCTGTCACGTAGCGATAGCCGTAGCCAATCGTGGTTTGTGTCTCCACTGAGAACAAGAAGGCAGCGGTGAAGCTGTCCACATTGCAAACACAAATCTGAGTCTCATTGTCTAAGTCCCCATAAGAAAGGGCCACTAACCAGAAGACGAAGCCAAAAAACAACCATGAGATCAGGAAAGAAAGGCAGAATACGAGCAGCATCCAGCGCCAGCGGATGTCCACACAGGTGGTGAAGATATCAGCCAGATACCGCTGACCTTTCTCACTCATATTGATAAACTGCACATTGCAGTGGCCATCCTTGCTGACGAAGCGGCTCTGATGTTGGTGCTCCGTGTGCACCTTGTTGACATTGCCGTTCCCGTAGCCATTTGGGACGGCAACAGCGGCCAGCTTCATGCCATCTTCCTCAGAGGACACAATGCTGTAACGGTGGCTTCGCACACTCCCCATCGCTGCCGCCTGGGAGGGCTGGGCCGAATCTGCTTTGGAAAACAGTCTAAGTTTTTGGTAGAAGCGTTGGAGAAACAGTTTTGAATGATCCCGGGGACAAACTCTAGCAGAAAATGGGGGCTGGATCCTGCAGGAGACAGGGGCCGCTGCTGCAGGCGTGCTTGCACCTTCGCTGAGGACGAGTCACTCCTCTCTGGCGGATGCTTTGAACCTCATCAGTGAAGTGGGCTGTGGAAATAACAGGCAGAGAGAAAAACAGTTTTAAAGTAATTGGCAGGAGCTGGAGTAAAGATCAGCATGTGTGGGTGTGTGGTTACTCGCTCTCTAAATAATGCATTGTACACCTGAAGTTTGCAGCACTTATTCTCTCTCCATGTAGAAACACTGGAACCAGTTTTGTTAGAGAGCATAAGGGACGGCTGATAGAGTATTCACATTATTTGAGCACTCAGAAAGCTGACAGAGTAAGATAGGATGTTTACCCTGCATAATGCAAGTATTAATTAAGCAGATCAGCCCTTTGGGAGCTGAGTCAAATTACAGATGAAGTTCATGTGAATCCAGTGAGCCGCTGGTACAAAGTAGCAGTTTTGTTGGAGAAGTGTCTCTATCAGAGAAAGCAAAACTTGCAGTACAGTCTTCGGTTATTCTCACTTTTCACGCTATTCCATCAGTCGTCCAAAAGACGTCTATAACCACACAAGTGCATATCCCCAGACTAATTCACACTATGGTTTGTGCCAGCACATCATGTAACAGCATTTGATGAAGCTCGCAGCTTTTCATAGAGGACGGGTCTCTTTCTCTGAAAAGTGTAACCTTGCGCCCTCTGTAACAGAGTCACAAGGACAGCTAAATTAGAAAAGCTATCGACTGGCTGTGTGTGGCCTGAAAGGACCGATAAAATGCAGCACCACAGGCTACAACTGGCTGCGGTCGGTCGGGCGGGCGGACGTGCTCTGCTAGCGCCAAAATAACTCCCACCTCCAGTTTTGACTCCGCTCATGCGATGCTGAGAAGGTGAAGAAGTTTGGATTGGAAGTCTGGAGGCCAGTTTTCAGAGATACTCGAGTTTTTTTTCAAGCATAACCCAGATAACAAAAACTGAACTTAATATGTTTGACTAATTGAGCGTGGATTAAACTCTTCTGAGATGTCATGTGGGCTGAAATGTGCAGGACGTGGTCTTAAATCCTCCTGCATCCTCTTTTTTTTTCTCCTTAACTCATGATGTCACTGCTAGATTGACTAAAAATAGCAACCTGTCACGCACACTATTGAGGATATGGGGCTGAATTCATTCATGGTTCAATTTATGACAAGTTATTTTTCCTTTAAAAGGTTTCAGGGATTTACATGAGATTAAAACCACTGAATTCATCATTTAAGCACATTTTATAAAAAGTTTGGACTTCTATACTGCAAGTTTACATCAGCAAACCAATCTTTATTTCATGAGAAATAGAAGAATTTAGACCTTCATAACTAGCAGCATATCAAGTTTGCTATTTACTCTTTTGTTTTGGCCAAGTGTGTTACATCTAAAGTCCATAATTTAGAATAAAGAATAATGCAGAAAGGATAACTATGCAGCACAGCATGAATCCGATCTAAACTTTTTACAGTATAATACTCTCGAACCCTCTCGGCCTCATGTTGCCACTGTCGCACAGCTTTATTGAGTTCTTCCTCACTGGGCTTTCATTTCCTCACTTTACCACGTCTCCTTTCATTGCAGTTTGCCCATGGTGACAGATGAAGGCTTCTATAGGCTGCACAAACTCTGATTGTTTGTTTTGCATGTGTTCTCCCTTAGAGTCCACAGCTGAGGCAGATGGAAACTGGTTACATAAAGCTGCTCTATTTATTATTACACTAATCAATAACTCAGGACGAGCATCCAACGTATTGTTGTAAGCCTCTGCAATACTCGTTATTCAATCATGAAAGCCTGTTTACATTTTAAAAGCAGTGCATATTATTAGTTTGATTTATTTACAGTGGGTTATATTTCTTTCTGCAGGATCATAACATTTTAAGAGAGTATAAAGACTTTAGTTTGGGCCTCTATTAGCTTTAAAGATCAGATGCTATAATAAAATGCAGCATAATAATATAAATCAAAATAATAACAATAATAATAGTAGCATAAAAAAGCTTTTAAGCACTTTTTAGCATTTTAAATAAAAGAGCACACACCACTTATTTCACTGCATTTGCTCAAATTTAGCACTTTTAAACCTTATTTGAGATGATCACATTCATTATTCAGTCCATAATCCACTGTACATCACAGTCGTAGCCACAGATTAATCTTCCCCGTTTATTTCACCAACCTGTTGGTCCCCGCAGTGCAAATCTGCAGTCCTCCTCTCGTGGAAAGTCCCATGTGTCAGGTTAGCACACTGCACGCCTCTTTTTCTCCTTACTGCTCTTTTGTAATGTTCACCAAGCTTCCCGTCTGGCGCTGCAAATTCTGCCATAACCCTCTCAAGCAAAACTGAGGAAGATGTTAGAGGATGCAATGACAGACTTTTAAAACACGTGTGCGTAACCACGCCCCCACCCGGTCAGCGGCCAATAGGAGGCTGCAGCGCCTGTTTGAGGGTCTGACTGGAGTCTGATTTACAGCGGGGGGTCTATATTGTTTTGGAGTGGAAGGGGAAAATACGGTGGTCATAAAGGTCAACTACAAGAGCATTTTATTAACGCTAAACACATTACAGTGGCGCGTGAGGCAGCTATTAAACAAGGGAAAAAGGTTAATGTAATTTTTTAAAAATATATATATATTTCTTGACATGTAAGAAAATGTAAAAAAAATTAAAGTAAGTTTAAGTAAGACAGTTTTATGAGAGCAATTTTTTAATAATAATATTTATGTCTTATATTTTTTTTCTGTTAAATAAATTTTTCAAAATTCAAAAATATAATAATAATAATAATTATTATTATTATTTTTTTGTTGTTGTTTGTTGTTTTTGTTATTGTTATTATATTATTATTTTAACAACAACAACAATAATAATAATATTATTATTATTACTTTAACAATATGTTATTATTTTCATCATCATTATTTTATTATTATTATTGTTATTACTATAAAAATATGTTGTCATTATTATTATCATAGTAATAATAATAATAATAATAATAAAACAATAGGACTATAGAAATATTTCTTCTGTCTTTTCAGGTATTTTTACTTGCTTTGGCATTAGTTGTAGGCTAATTTACAAGAGAGATTTATGTCGTATGACAAGATAATTTGTTTTTATATGGGTTTTGGGGGGATTTGATTGAATTTTTTTCTATTTTAGTGAAATGCTTTAGGAGTTGACTAAAATGTTTTTACTTTTGACCTTTAGAGCCACCATAGCAAGAGAAGACAACCCTCCTTTTTTATGAAGGGATGCTGAAAACTTTATATTTGGCCAGAAATTCAATGTAGTTTGAACAATAAACATCTTCAGGTGGTTTTCTCGGCAAAAGCCAATTAATGGCCTGACTGGAGTTGTGTATAATGTGACGAAGTGGTTTTACTTTTCTGTGCAGGAACTGAGCAAATACTCTAGATTTACACAACAGGCCAATTTTGTGAGTGAGATCTGTGACTGCTCAGCGCTGATGGAATGAAACTTGGTGTATTGAATGAACACAAGGTGGCAGTGTAGAGCCATGAAGAGTGAACTCACACAAGATCAGGCTGAAAAATCATGCTGCAGAGTATAACCAGCAAAAAAATCGTTTTATTTCATCTGAATTGTAAAAATACTTTTGTAAAGCATAGAAAATAAACAGCTATAAATATATTTACAGTTCAGTTCAGTGTGTCACATTATGATTTCTCCTAAAACTGAGTCCTCCTTTCATCACGGTGCAGGATGAGATTATCTCTATTTGCTGAAGCTACAAGCTAGTTTGATGCATCACCTCTTCAGTGATGTTGTGATCCATCTTGTATCTATGTCCATTTCTCTTGTCTGGTGGAAACAGAGGATTGTAGGTCTGCCTGACTTCTGCATGTCTCCTCCCACTGTCTAACTCCTCCGCGCTGACGTGAGGCACCGGCACCCATGTGGTCTCGTTGAAGCGAGCGTAGTCCACCTTGTAGTTCTTCTTCCCCAGCTTCAGCATGTCCTGGAAGCGCTGGCCCCAGCGAATGTCTGCTGGTTTGTAGCAGGTTCTGGTCTGGTGGAGCATTCCCGTAGAGTCACCAGTGTAGGTGAAAGACACCACCAGCTCAAAGTCGTCCTCCAGCAGGCCATCAGGGCCCAGACTGTAGAGAGGACTCCCAGGTTCCAGCTTGTGGATTATAGTAGCTGGTGTGGCGAGGATGATATCTCGATCTTGGATGTCTAGATCTTGGTATGACATCACAATGGATCCATGTGGCTTTTTCACATGGCGGACTAAGATAGCCCTGGCGACACCATCCAGGATGTGATTCCCTCTGAAGTCCCCGAGCCGCCATGATAGACACAAAACCCCGTCTCGCAGGTTGACCACCGCACAGCTGCTGAAGCCAACAGTTTGAGCTCTCTTACGAGCCGACGCCATCTTAGCAACGACAATACCGATAATGATGGTGTCGAGAAAGCAGCTGAACACATCTTGAACCGTCACAACAATAATGGCCACCATACAGTTCTCAGTCATCCCCCTGAAGCCGTAGCCAATAGTTGCCTGAGTCTCCATCGAGTACAGAAAGGCTCCAGTGAAGCCACGAACGTTTTCCACACATGGCTCGTTTTCTAGATCCGCAATGTCTCCGTGTACGTGAGCAATGAGCCAATAGCAGAGGCCGAAGAAGATCCAGGAGAGGATGTAAGAGAGGGAGAAGATGAGGAACATCACTCTCCAGCGGATCTCCACAAGAGTGGTGAAGATGTCCGCCAGATAAGGACTCCAGTCTCCGGGAACCTTCTGGAAAACAACAGGGAATCTGCCGTCTTTCTGCATGTAGCGGAGACGCTTCCCCTCGTTTTGCTTACCCAGCGTATGGACGGTGGTGCGGCGGGTGTCAATGACGACCTCCTCGCTTCTCTCTGAGCTCATTTTGACCTCTTTGGTTTTTACCTGACAGTCACCTGCGGAAAGACAGAGGATAACATGATTGTTATACTTTCAAATCAAAGCATAAAAAATGGATATAAGCATGAGCAGGTTAGACATCATCTAAATCATTACATGAGCTGAAATGTAAAAGGCCCTCAGACTTGTTTGTGGAGCTGAAGCCTTCATGTTTGAGCAAGCAGTGGAGGTCACTCTGCGCCTCCGGCTATCAGCTGTAAAAGACTTTAGCAGGGTGTGAAAACTCTGTTTCAAGAGCACGAGTGTCTGAGCGGTTGATTATTTACTAGAAGTCCTAGAACAGCCTGGACACTGTCCAAAAACAGTTGTGCTAAAAAGTTCTCTATAAACACTTCATTGTCTACAGTATAACCCAGAAGCTGTTTCATCCTGACTATAAAGTTAGAAATACTTAACAACGACGAGAAGTGGCTGCAAACTTTGAAGCACCTTGTAAACTTTTTGTTATTAAAGGTGCTATATTTATTAAGTTTAACCCCATATTTAGTTGAGAATAGTGTGAAGGAAACATATCAAATGTTGCAACTAAACAATGTTATTGTTTTCTTAAAGCTATACTCGTCTTCGTTGTTTTATTATCCCTCCACCTGGTCCTGGGTTGGCCACGAGGTCTCCTCCCGGTGAAACATGTCAGGAACACCTCTAACTGGAGGCGTCCAGAAGGCATCCTAACCAGATGCCCGAGCCACCTCAGCTGACTCCTCTTGACGTGGAGAAGCAGCAGTTCTACTCTGAGCTCCTTACCCGATCTTTAAGGCTGAACCCAGCCACCCTGCGAAGGAAACCCCTTTCGGCCGCTTGTATCCGTGATCTTGTTCTTTTGGTCATTACCCAAAGTTCATGACCATAGGTGAGGATCGGCACGTAGATCGACCGTTAAATCGATGGTCTCGCCTTACGGTTCAGCTCTATCTCCACCACGACTGATCGATAAAGCGTCCGCATAACTGCTGACGCCGCTCTGATCCGCCTGTCGAAAGCTATACTTTAGTTTTCAATTGGCTGCCATTAAAATGTCCCGTTTCTGAATCACATTTATATATGCCTAATTTTGCAAAGTAGGGTGTCCACCAAAAAGTTGTAGTCACAAACATTGTTTTTTAGAGGTGATTTTAAGGCCATGCGGTGACTTTCACTACAGAGTCATGTCTGCTTAAAAGCCTGAACATCACAGTCATCTGGCTTTCTAATCTTGTAATGATTTTTTGTGCTCCAGATGGTTAAACTCCCTCTTTTTTTTCTCAGTTTTGACCAGTTAAATTAAGGAACATGATTCTGAACTGTTTGCTAACAAAGTCTCTCACAGAAAGCTACAGAAAGGGATTAGAGCAACTGGGAAAAAAAGGTTCAATATACAGATTTTTTTTATGATTGTTCTGGAGAGAAAGTAAGAAATTGGAGATTAAGGTCAGAAATCTGAAAAAAAATTCAAACAATGAGATTAAATTTAAAATTCCGAGACTCAACTCTGACTTTAATCTCAACATTTTGACTTAAGTCTAGGAATTCTGACTCTTTTCTGAAGGAAATGACCTTTTTAAACCCTGTGATGTTACTAACTTGCTGCAAGTTAACATAAATTGCTGGGTTTGAGTGTTTTTACTCCGGGTGTTTAGATGTGTCTCAGTCCTGACTTGTCTAAAATACATTTTTTAAAAGATCAATGCAAACTGCTTTGTGCCAATATCCATTAAAGGGTTATCCTAATGTCTCAAGAAAGTGTGTCACGGTTAATTAAGCAAAACCTTAACCTGTTTTTGCCCTCATGAAAGTAAATTATTATCCCGTAAAAAACTCTAAGAGCTTTCACCTCCAAATGTTTCCTTAAATGTCAAACTTTAACCACATAACCTTTTATCCAGTGGGACAGAAAATACGCAAGAGTCAGGACATTTTTATCGCTTTATTATACCACACTACATTATTCTGACAGCTCCTATCGCTAATCAATACAGTTTTTTTTAACTCTGTGTTCCTCCTTGAAAGAAGTCTTTGAGACTTTTTTATGGAGTGTTTATTGCTTTGCTCGATCACCTGAGAGCACGTAGCAGGTGTTTGTCCTGGTTTATGATGAATCGCTTCAGAAAAGGTGATAATTTGACACCTCGGGTTGTTTAATTGTAAAGCCAAACAACCTCAAGTGTAAGCTGGTTTGGAGCAACAAGAAAAAGTCAAGGATGAACCTTTTCTGGAAGAAGAGCATTATTATTATTATCATTATTATTATGTTTTAACTTTTAAACACTCTGCATTATATTTAATAAAGATAGTGGATATAGAATTTTACTCCAGTGCAGTGACTGGATTTCAAAGGTAGAAAAACATAACAGACACATAACAAGTAACTAAGTCCACATGCATTTATAATGAGGTGACTGCTTCACTCTTTAGCAGCGGTGGTAAAGGTGATTTTTACAGAGCTGTTTTTGAGTTTACAGCTTTTGCAGGACAATCAGGTCAAGAGAGAGCAAAAAGAAAAGGTCACTCTCTAATACTATAGGACACAGGAAAGAAGGAGGAAAATCATAAGGAGTAAAGGTATGCTGGGGTCAATATCACCGAATCATGTTAAGCTGTATTTCCTCAGCTTATTTGCACATATAAATCAGCTTTTATATTTATATCATACTTGTTCAATCCCCATTCATCTTTTTCTTTCCATTTTAAAGTGTTATTTGATAATTCCCTGTCGCAATATTAAGACAGCAAACTGGATCATTGTACAGCACTTCAGTCACAAGTTTTATTTCCAAACAAGCATTTGAAATAAATTTAACTTGATCTGATCATTAAAAATCCCACAGTTTAGTTTTTTCACAAGTTTGTTCCATATCCCTTTTTGTGATCTTTAATTCTAATGAATCAGCGTGGTTGATTGACCGCAAAACTATCACTCTCCTATTTAACATTAATGCACTAACAGCACTTTCGACTGAATAAAAGAAATTGTGCTTTTAAAAAAATGCATCAACAGGAGTTTTGGTTGTAAAATTAAAGCTCCTATACGTAATTTTAAGTCTTTAATCATGTCCTGTATATTTGTAATGGTGTTTACAAAAAAAAGTGTTTATGTAGCTCATAAAGTGGCATGAGTATTAATCTAAGCCCAGTTCAAAAAATTCTGGAAAAATCCTTACAGGAGCTTTAAGTTACAACAACTCGATGTATAATCTACCGTTGCTAGCTCAACCTTGCTAACATCCCAAGCTCTTTCTAATTTAACCTATGCAGCATTTTTAAAAATCTAAAGTCATGTTAGACATTTACTCTAATTACATTTTTGAGAACCCACAAAGCGCGCAAAAGCAAACAGTACCATCTTTTAACATCAAACTTACTTGCAGAGTTGAAATCGGAGTTAAATTCGTCAGGTGTCACACAAGCCCATCAGATCTACCAGGCATTGAGCGGTACGCTGCTCCGGTGAAAGTCACCTGTGTGCTCAGTTGAGTGTAGAGGTCCTGTGGCAAAGTCCTGTTTTCTTCTAATATCACTTCCCACCCTGAAACCTCATTGGACAACCTGAAAGAATTTATGACCTATGGAATATTTTGGAGGCACACTCCTGCGTAACTTTTGAAGCGCCTCCAAACTGATTCAGCATGATTATAGAAATTGTGTAACCAAAACAGTCCTGAGTGATAACGGCAGATAAATATTAATGATTTATTAGTTACTCATCTGTTTTGCAGACCATATGGAGAGTCATTTCCCTGTGAATTTCCGTGAGTCATTAGAAAGTTAACCTTTGTTTCATCAGGGATTGTCTTCGTCTCACTTGTCCTCAATTTAGGTCTGATAAGACGAGAGAGATCACAGCTGGGCCGCTAGGACATGATGACTTTGAAAGCACATTTATTACCGCCATAAGACCATCATAAGCCGTGAGGAAGAAGTCGACGACTTCAAAACCGATCTGTTGTGTTTTTAAAAATAGAGCATGACCCTCTGAGTCGACCTGAATCATCCTGTGATGAGCTTCCTATAGACGATATGTGAAGACAGAGATAAGAGACATTCCTCAGAGAGATAACCTGGAAATAACAGCTCACCTGTCTGTCGTTTAGAGGCAGTGGCTGCACAATGAATGAGTGAAAACACGCACAGAAAAAATAATGCCACTTCCTTAAGTAAAGCACATAATGAAACCAATAAACTTCACAACAACAGGACGGTTTATTGATTTATTGAACTCACTTCGTGAAGGTGTTTTTTAACAGACTTACAAGGCGAGAAAAAAACATCCAGTTATAGTTTACAATTATACATGAACGTCAGAGGACAACTTTTCAGGAGATCCAATATATGAGCACATAATTATAGTGTACAGGAAATAGGATACTCTCCCTCAGCTGCCACCGATCTGCACAATAAGCTGAAATTAAATGTCACATAATATAGGTAATGAGTCAAAATGAAAACACACACAAAGACACGAGTGTTTAATCGTCTCTCCGCCTCCTTCACTGATAAATAACTCAGGGTTTTTTAAGGTTACTTAACAGATTTATTTCTCTCTGTGGTGTTTGTTTGTCTCATGATGGTGATTTGTCCTCATGTACCACTACTTTGTATGCTTGTTTTTTTCCTTTTGGGTGATTTGTGGTTGTTTGTGTCTGTTTTGTAGTTGATTCATGTCTCTTTTGAGTCATTGAATGCATCTTTGTTTTGGTACCTTTGTTTCTTTTTGTAGTTTATCACTTTTGAGGCATTGTGTAGTTTGTTTACTAATGTCTCTTTGTATTTGCACACTGTTTTGTCTACTGTCTAGCAGCAGTTTTATATTTCTTTGATCTTCTTTGTGTCTCTTTTTTGTTTTTTGTTGTTGTTTGTTTTCTCTTTTAAGTAACTTTGTACATCTTTCTATAATCATTTGGTTTCATTTGTAGTTGTTGAAATACTGTTTTTGTCTTTTTGTAGTTATTTCATATCAATCATAGTTAACTCTTTGTAGTCATGGTTCCTATTAATGTCCTTTATCTAACATTATTTTTTGTTAGTGTCTTTTTTTTTGTATCTCGGTATCTCTTTGTTGTTTTTTTTTGGTCCGTGGAATCGTCATGTATCATGAAATTGTTGTTTTTTGTCTCTTTGCAGTGACTTTATACATCATCTTGTAGCTTTCTTATTGTCTCTTTAGACGTGTTTTGTCACTGCATTTGTTGTGTGCCAATCTCAGTTGTTGTTTTGTGTCTTTTTTCTTTGTCTCTTTGTAGTTTTTGACAGCTCTTTTGGTTGTCGGTGTTGTGCCTCTGCTTCCTATGTTTTTTTCTCCTTTTTTAAGTTGTTTTTCGAGTTGTATTGTAGTTTCTTAAACAATCCTTTTTAGTTTTGTATCTATTTGTACTTGCTGTGTCTCTTTGCAGTTTTTTTTCCCACTCTTTTTTGCTACTTTTGCCTCTGTGTTGTCATTGAATCTGTTGTTTTTAATGGTTGTGGTAAATTTAAAACTTCTTTGCAGTCACTTTGTGTTGCCTTGGGTGTATCCTTGTTGTCTTTGTTGTAGTTTTGATGCTGCACCGAGACCAAGAACCCCCTGAAGCTCTTACAAAGCATTATCAAGTAATCCTTCCCTTGTTGTCTTACTGACATGTCACCAAAATCTGTTCAGTCGATGAGGAGAGCAGGATTAGTCTTTTTTTATACTCAAGCTTCACTGTGAGTTTTTTCGTAAACTTTTACATATATTGAAAAAACATCTTGAAAACAACCTTGCACCTTCTGTCCACATGATCTCAACATAAGCAGGTTGAAGAGACAAAAAAGAGACAGCCTTTAGTGTGAAGGCTGTTGTTTGTCTGACATATTTGAGACCACAGGGTGATAACCTCTGCTCTGACTGATAGTGATCAGGTCAGTCAGGTATGAAACACATTTAAGATAAAGAACCAGTTTGTTGGTGGTTCAATAGTCCAGAAAGAGCAGATTTATACAACTTGAAATGTGGGACAATAAGGTACGAGTGTGGAGGGTTTTTCACAGTCTTTCAGGACTTTAAATAAAAGTGCTTATCCTTTAACTGTTTGCCTCGAAAACCTCAACCACCTTTTCTTAACTTAAATATGTTAAATATGATAAATCATAATTTGATTTCGCTTCAGACAAACTGACTTGCTTTTGGACCTTATTGTGAGAAAATCACCCAGCTGTCAAAACAAAGTGTTCGTCATGTCTGTTCTGTAAAAAGACACTCAGACAACCCTGAAACCACAGCAGTTATAAGTCTTTGTCCTCTACGCCAAACCCATTATGTCTCTACGAAGTCTGTCCCTTGTACTGCATCCACGGTCTCATTGTCATGTAAAGCAACATGGATGACTTTAATAACATATAGCAGCTGGAGCTACCTGTACCTGCCCTCAGGTAAACACAGAGTGAGAATAAATGCATTTCTGTCACGAGTGTTTACACAGGACTTATGAAGGATTCACTGACCACTCACTGTGATTAATCACGCAATAGTGTACTGACGCACCATTGTGGCCCGCTCGTATTGTCTCCTAGTGTGCCAGTGTTGGGAACATGCGGTTAAATGTCACTGCAAAACCTATTTAAGCATCACGCTGGGCGGAAACCTAAAGATAGCAGAGCAGACAGGGATGATAAAAACATAGAAAACCACGATCAAATAAGCGGAATCATTCCTGCAGGGACCCAGTTAGACATGTTGAAGCTTTTCACCCACGCCGTGTGGAAGGCCGTCCTCTTACTGAATCTTCTAACAATAGGTAAGTGTCTTGTGCTTATATTTTCCTAAAATGAAGCTACAAGGAGTAAATGTTTATTTCTGATGGCAGGATGTGGAAATGCTTCAACCAACTGCACTAAACGCAGATGTCTGGCTCAAACGCTGGTCGACAAAGAGCTTCGTGACTCAGCCGCAGAGTGACAACTGCACACAAATTATCAGGGTGCCTTTTATCGAGTACCAAACTCTATCAGTTGTAAGTATCTTTTTCTGTTAATAACGTTTGTTTGGCTGAACGTATAAGAAGTTTAACCCTGTAAACATTGGAGTATGTTGAGTTAATCATTCTTCCACCAGCACTGGAGAAGTCTTACAACTTCGTCTAACTTTACACATCTTATTTTCTTCCAACAGAACACCAAAGAGCTACGACTAGTGAGTCAAATTCGAGCCACGCTTGTAAGCATCAAAATACCTTTACTACCCATTGAAAAATCTTCTGTTTCAAACTCATTAATTCTGATTTCGATCCACAGCGATGGGATGATCCAGATTTATCTTGGGATACATCGGTTTACCAGTTCGATGAAGTCATCCTACCAGTTGCCAAAGTCTGGACCCCGGAGATCCACGTTACAAATGGGTCAGCCGCGTCATAAAAGTAGCAACAGACTTTCATAAAAGATTAAATAAATCTGAGCTGTCTGTCGCCTCTCACCTGTGCAGGATACTAACAACCATGAAGCACAGCTCCAATGATCTGCTGGTCTACAGTAACGGCACAGTGCTGCACGCTGTGGTCATCACTGCTGAGGTCAACTGTGAAGTCAACTTGTTCAACTATCCTTTCGCCGGGGATGAATGCCCTGTGGCGATCCAAACCTGGGCCACTGATGGTGAGCTCAGAATTTCATTAAATCAAAAAGTTGACGAAAGAGGATTTTTATTTGACGTCTTTGGCCATTTTTAACTCCTGGGGTTACATAAATAAATTCAAACGTGCCAAAACTGCAGTTCCTGGACTGACCACTGGTGGTTCGCCTCAAAAGTAGATTAATCCTGAATGACCTCTATATTAAACATCAAATTTAAACATGGTGGCATGCTTATAGTTTGGCGAAGTAAACAGTTTTAGTCACTATCTTTATATTCCCTAAATAATGCCGTAGTCATCTGTTTAACCAAGTACCACCAGGGAATATAACCAGTCTTTAGTAAATTAGCTTTTCGTAGCTATTTGCTGCTTCGCTTAAAATGTTTGCTTTGAAAGACTCCTCACACCTCGATCACTTCAACGGTTTATACAGAAATGGTCATAAAACAACAGAAATTTGAATCTGCAAAACAGTAGTTCACAAACAAGTTGGTTACGTCTGTAATTTAAGTTAATGCCTTTTTTTTCCCAGGGTGTGGTACAAGCTTAGATTTCTTTGATGTGAAAATGGTTGATGGTGGTCATGGAGATTGGGAAACAAATTATGTATCTTTGGAGAAACAAAGAGATGACCGCAATTACATTAAGGTGAGTTTGTAAATGTTATTTATTCTTATAACACAACAAGTTCCTATAATAGTAGCATTAACGTTTTTGTAGTAAGACTGCAGAGCCTGATGTTGGGTTCAGATCTCTTCTCAGAAAACCCTGAAAACATGCCGATGGATGATGCAAACATGCTTTACAATCAATATGTGTGTGGTGTTCCCCTCAGGTGGGACTAAGGATCAAATATACCAACCCCTTCATCACACTGATGCTGCCCAGTATCCTCATCGTCTTGGCTGATGTGGTCAGTTTCGCTCTACCGCTCGGAGGAGGCGAACGCAACTGTTTTAAGGTCACCCTGGTCCTCAGCTTCACCATGTTCCTCATCATCCTCAACGATGTGCTCCCCGGAGACAGCGAATGCAGCCCAGTAATCCGTCAGTCAGCACACATGCAAACCAAAAATATGTACAGGGGCATATCAAGAGGGTGGTCTGCCTCCTTTTTATGCCCCCCTTTGGTTAAAGCATCTGGATCTGTCTTGTTACAGGTTGACTAACTAACTGTCTGTCTTTGCTGCAGGAACCCACTTCTGTATCTGCCTGATCCTCTTGGTCTTGAGCATGTTGGTGTCCATGATACTGACAGGAATGGCCAAAAATGGCAGCCTCATTTTCTGCTGTTGGCCCAAAAGGAGTTCAACCCCAGTCAACAGCGATACCAACGATGAAAAAGTGGATGACGGTGAGGAAGACTCCTAAAACGTGGAGATTTTATCTGATCAAAAAGTCTTGATTGTTGTTTCAAACTCTGAATGACCCAACTTGACTCCTTGCAGAAACCAAAGCTGACATCAGTGTGGTTCAGCTCAACGCCTCAGAGGGAGACAGCCGGATGCTCAGGAGGGTCGTGGCCTTCCTGGATGATCTCAGCTCAAAGAGCGAAGAATGTGACAAATGTCAGAGGATCGCCGAAACGCTGGACAAGATATTTTTCTGGTGTTATTTAATTTTAGGCACAGCTTATTTTGTTTCCATGTCTTGTATCATGGTGTTTCATGACTGTGAAGTTAATCACTTTGATTTCTGGTACTAATTAAACAGGCTAGTTGGAAGTCTTTCGGTGCTGTTTGATAGCAGCTAAATTGTCTCACTTAAAAATTAGAGATAGGGCTGTAACAACATCGATTTTCATAAAAATCATCTTTAAGGAAAACTGAAACATTTATATGGTGCTGACAATGTTGGATTTGGGAGCTACAATCAATCTAAAATTTACAGTCTCCTGTTGTTTGTTTTATTTTCATCCATCCAAATTTACACTCTAAAGGAAGCCGCTCATACTTCAAAATAAAAGCACAGTTTTACCACACAGAAAATAAAATCAGACAGTAAAGATATCAAAATAAAAGCATGTTAAACAATCATTAAAATGTCGCTGTCTTCTCCAAACAAGCTTCAGACACAGACACGGTGATCTGGATAAACCAAAAATTAGAGACTGATTATGATGTAATTTTATGAAGTAAGAAGTTGCTCCTACTTTTGTCTTTTTTCCCTCTGTCTGATTGATTTTTATAAAAAAAATTTTAGCTTTCCAAAATTATGCATCATCATTAATATCATTATGGTGATATTTTAAAATCTGATGTTGTGACAGCCCTAAGAGATTTTGTAATGTAAGATTACTAAGCAAAAATTGAAAGAATGCTGCAATTGCTTTTTATATAATAGCTTGACATCTTCTGCAAACTTGATGTTTTAATATCACTAAAAACTGTCAGTGTATCTTTGATTTAACAAATAAAATACTAAAATCTTTCACTTCTGTGATTCATTATCAAGAAATGAATGTACCTGAGGATAAAGATGATGATAAAACTCTGAAACGTCTGCTTTTATTCTCATCTCTGTCTGAATATTAGAAAATGTAAGAAAATATCACCCTCTATACTCCAAAACTGCAGGTTCATTTGCACCTTTTTATTAGGTTTATTGGTCTTTCCTGACAGTTCCCGTGTAATTTTCATTTGTTGTTGTTCTTGTTCATTTTCAAATTTTTAATCTACCAGGTGCTTCCAAAAAAATGTGTCATTGTAAAAACACATAAATGCAAGAAAAGACAACTACAGTTATGAGTTTTGGTTGCCATCTAGTGGCTGAATCATTCAGTGCACACAGGCTGTCGACCTGCTGCACAATTTTTCCATCGTAAATGTTCAGAAATATTTTTCATCAGTCTTTATTATTTAGATAGTTAGAAAACGTGCGTGTCTCCACTTGTCAAATCAAGTTATGAAAGGCAAATATAAAGAAATAAAGATTGAAGAGGAGACAGAAAAAGACTTCCACTTTTAAAGACTGTTAGTTTAATGTTGACTTGTTCGTTCACAGAGTTCAACAGTGACCCTAAGAAGCCCTGACACATTAGTGCAAATTGATTTAAAAACATGTGGTTCATCATTTCCTCACATTTCTCCCTCTATAAAACCACATCACATATTCCCTTCGATTTTTTAAATAGAGTTTGATTTTCGTAACATAGAGTAGCTGAAAACTTGAAGTTCTTGTGTGAAACTTTCTGTTTGTGTGGATGTTAGAACCCCCTGAGGACAAAGTGTCACCTCTTATCTCTTTGCTGATCTTGTCCTGCACATGTGAGAAGTGTTTTAGAGGAAAAAAAGGGTAGGTGTCACCTCCATCAATCTTGTTGCTGATAGTTTGCCTTATAAACTCCGGCTCATAAAGAGGCGACACTGTTCATTTCGGGTTTGCTGGGAACTCATTACAGGAGTTTTACAGTTAATAACAGTAAACAGTACATTCATTGTCGATGGCTGCAGGTTGCAGAAGTTTTTCTAAAGTCTGTGCAAACTTTTAATTTGTTTTACTTCTTTAAATTTAAGGCACTGCCTTTATCTAAACACCTTCACAAGTAAGGCTTATGAATAAGAGCTTTCAAACTCTTTGTTTAAGCCAAAGTAAAGCTTATAAAGTCTGTCAAAGCCCGAACACTATCACTCTGAGCTTATTAGAAAGGGTTGAATCATAGGTATACAAACACAATTTTCCACAAAAAGCATCCACTTCAAATTAAAATGAATTACAGGAGTTCAAAGGAAGCAACAGAAATTTAGTTTGAACCAAAAATCAGGATGAGATTACAAACTTTAAGTTTGCCACAAAAAGGACGAGCTCAAACCTGCCAAACAGAATCACATTTCTACTCCATCGACTTCAAGGGCCCTCTGCATTCGTCATTGCCTGTGGTGGAAAATAAAAGATATTCAGTCATGTCACTCAGAGGAAAACTCGTATACACTAGCATGATTACCGTCCATGTACCTGTCGGAAAATCTGGGCACTGATGTAGGTCTTGGCCATGTTTCCAAGGTTGGACTTCCCCCCTACTTTGCACCTGACATAACCATAAAGGTTCGCCCACTGCAGAACTAAGCCCATGATTACTACAGCCTGTGGAGACGTAAACAAAAAATGAAGTAAGACAAAACTAGGAATAAGAAATGGATATGTTTGTAAATATAGGTCAAAACCAGCTTACTGACCAGCCATTTAAGCTTGAAAGAGAAGATGGTGCTGAACACGAAAATGACCCAGAAGATGGGGCACACGATAAGTCCGAGCCAGAAGATCTGTGACTCAGCGCTGGAGGGTGGTTTCATTTTGGGTGTCTGTTCAGATCAGCAACCAAGAAAAAGAAAACAGGTTTATGTAGCTTTAAAGATCGTACTTAACATGTAAAGGACGGTTTCATTAAAAATAGGGGAAAGGTAAGTCCACCAAGGCTCCACTGAATAGGAAGTACGTCTCACCTGAGCTCTTTTTCTTTCACGTCCCTTCTAGTCTCTCCATGATGCGTTTAATATTACTAAATTCAATGCAATTTAACAATCTAAAGATACATTTCGTAGGAAATCAAGGATTGCAGAGGAAATCAAGCTGTTTTTACTGTAATATAAACTCCTGCCCCAAATTATGGAAGGATAACAAACAATATTTCATTTCATCCTACTCGGTAATTCCAGAAAAGATGATATAGCCTTTGAGAACTCACATTCAGTATCCCCATTGTGTCATACGCTATGTCTGGGTGAAGACAAAGCAGCTTTATACATCCAATAAGGCCATGCAGCTACATTATACGCGATAAAACCAAAGAAAATGTTATACTGGCACCTGCAGAGCTGCTGCAAGCTCTACTCTGTGAAACTGTAGATGCACCGTATTTTCTGAAATGCAGCCCCCTCTCTCTTCTTTGAATATGACTGTATTTACAGAGATCTCTATCACCCTCCCGTGAGCCCTTCAATCGCTGCCAAGGTCACGTTTATTTCTATAGAGGAAACACGATGAGGCTCTTTAGCCTAGAAAGGTTGCTTCACTCTATCTTGTTTTCCCCGACCTGTATCCTCCACGTGAGAACCTTTCTTTGTTTAGCGCACGGTTTTCTTTCATCTTGCGCTATAAAGAGGGAGGCCTTTATAAATACAGTACAAGCAGCTAGACTTTATGGATGCACCTGAGCAGCTCCTGCTTACCTTCCTCGACTCAAATACCCAGTGGCTGTTTCCGTTTTCATCCACCTGATTCCACCAGCGAAGACCCACTAACAGTCGGCCAGAAACATTCTGGGGGAAGGGAAGAAAGAAGTATAATGTACAGATCACAGAGCAAAAGCTGGATTTTAAGAATATATATGATTAAAAAGAAAAATATAGGAGAGTGGGGTAAGATGAGCCATTTTTCATATTTCAGATCACTACATCAAGTCAATCATAGTTTTGTCTCTAACTAGTGTATCTGCATATATTTCTAGATGTTGTTCATCCCTGCAAACCAACAGAATGAGTGTTAACATAACTGTCTTGATAATATAGCATGCCAAATAAAAGCGATCTCCTATGATCAACTTACCCCGGGTATGGGGTAAGTTGGCCATAGGAGCGGGTTAAATTAAGCCGTATCCCTACTACCCCCCACTCTCCACCCCAGCCCTCCCTAAATAACAGTCACTTCTTCACATTCATGAGTATTTTTTATCTATTATACACCATTTAACTGGCACAATAATTTCTTTATTATTATTGCATATGGTCTGAACACAATTCTAATAAAACTTATGACAGACTAAATTCACTTTAGAGAGTGAAAAATGTTTTTTTTTTTTTTTTTGTATAAATAAATGTCTAACCCCTTCACCCATGTGCTTCTAACCTTCACACACTCTGATTGATGCCCATTTCCTAAATATTTGGTCACATGATCTATTTCTTTCACCATTTCCAAGAAACAGGGGGTGGCTTAACTTACCCCACTTTCCCCTAATATAATATTTTAGTGCTGCTAAACTGCCCTGGATTGCAAACCTTGGCAACCAGATGCAATTTTTTAAGATCTTTGTTCAGTTCAGATCTGACTGTGAAAAAATGAGGCAGTGCCACATTTGAAAAACCTTAACCAATACTGCATTACCTGCCAGTTTATCACAGTATTATTGTTTTGTTATTAGCATCAGGAGTGAAAAGAATACCAAAAAAAATCTTCTGTAGTAAAAGCAAAGTTACTTTAATAACCACGACACTGAAACAAAAACTTAACATCCTGGACAACCCTGATCACATGTCACAGCACTTACCAATCAGAGGCTAGGACCTCAAAATAAATGTCAATGAACCTCAGAAACATATTCTGCATAATCTGCTAACTCTAATAAACAGCTGCAGAGAAAAGAATTTCAACTTGTAAATATGAACCTGTCAACACTTTGTGAGTAGTTCTCTGTATGAATTCTATAAACACAACAGAAACACAAACAGAAACATATGAATTGACTTCACTGTTAAAGCTTACAGATGAGATTATCTATTATGAGAGATGTAGTTCACCTTGACCGTCCAGAAGTCACATGACAGCAGGAGGATGATGGTGACCATACAGACGATGAAGCGACCACTGAGTAGATCACACAGTAAATACACTAAAATGGCGCTACATCTGAAGAAAAGGTGGAAGAAAGAGGCCAGAGGGTGTCTGAAACACACATTATTAGGTTATTTTACAGAGTTATATAGAAACAAGGTTAAGCTTTCTCAAAAGTCCAATTTAACTAAAGCACAACAATCACCTGATTTTGGACTTCGTCTTCCCGACGTTGTCATCCTCTTCCCCAAAGAGAGGGGCGTCATGGGAGTCCTACAAAAACAGGGATTATGAGCAAGTTTACGCTGATTCTGATTGAGCCCACAAATAAAGCTGCTATTAATCTACAAAGTCATAAACATTAAGTGATTTTATCTAAACTAAGATTAAACTGTATGTCTAAAAACGCGCGGTTGCTTAAAGTACAAAGTAAAGTGTCGTTTACCTGTCCGTGCATTTTGACAGTACGGGATGCACTTCCTGGTGACGTGGTTGTAAACAAAACCGTGTGCTCAGGACCCCAAAGAGATGTGGCTTCTAATATGCCTGATTCAGGTAAATTAAACACGTTATTAAACATTTATTTCTTAAGCAGACGTCTCTGCTGGATGAATGTTTTAATGTCAAGCTTATGAATACTTCCAAGAGTTTGGGGAAACTATTTGTTTGGCGTTGTTGTCCGTCAGAAGTCCGATAGAGAAAATTAGCTTTAATAAAATTTTATTCAATCAGCAGCAAAAGCTACTTCATGATGAATGGTTAAAAAATGTTATAAAATAAAATAATAAAAATGATAATTACGCGTTATTTCACTGTAAGATGCCTTAACTTTATAAATGCATGTCCAAATGTTGAGGATTTTGCTGACTCACCCATCAGTTACTATTTTTTTTCTCTTATTCTCTTGGTTAAATACTGCACTCTAAAAACTCTTGGGTTATTTCTTCAACCCAATTGCTGGGTTATACGTGTTGAGTAAAATTTCTGGGTTATTTTTCAGATCCATACCCATTTATTGGGTCATACAGATTCTATTGTAACCCAATTTAAGGTTGTTGTTTTGGTTTTTTTTTTGAACGGGTTAATAATTATGGGTTGTTTTTCTGAGAGTAACCCAATACTTGGGTGCGAATGTTGGGTTTGATTGACTCTACGCAGTTTCTAGGCCTAATGGCAGTTAAAGTGACCTGGTGACGTTCTGTAAGGAGCAAACTACATCCACCAGTGTGGGTTCTTGGGCAAGACCCTTAGCAATATGGCGTACAATCAGTTAGATAAAAGTACATGGGAAAATAGGGTACAGGTTGTAAAAACAAAGCTCCCCAAATGCATGTTTTAATTTAACCCAACATAATGAGTTAAATTAACTGGAAGATTGGGTTAACTTGACCCTTAAAATGAGTTATTGGGTCAACCCAAAATTTGGGTTAATTTGAATAACCCAACATTCTGGGTCAAAATAACCCAATAAGTAGTCGGTCCCTTTTCAGCCCTGGTGTTGGGTAAAAAACAACCCAAGTTGGGTTGTTTTTAACCCAGGGGTTTTTTTTTTTTAATAATCAGATTTTATTCAATTTTTAGAACATAACAACAATACAGCATTGCATACATCAGTAAGGTCTGAGCAAGTGGAAACAGATGAATAAGCAGAACTCAGTAAAAAAAAAAAAAAAAAAAAAAAAAAAAAGACAGAAAAGGGAAAAATAAAAAAATAAATACATATATACACATACATGTCCCTGCACCTGATATGAAAGATTTCTTACCACCATTCACCTCATTCTGTAACTTTCTAGGCCAGTGTTTCCCCTCTCGATAATTTCACTTAGATCCTTAGGCAGATAATCCATTAGAGGCCGCCATATGTCCATAAAAATGTCATTATTTCCTTTCAATTTGGCACTTAGTCTTTCCATAGGAAGGACTCTGAAAATTTCTTTGTACCACTGGGTTACAGTGGGGGGTTTCTCACTCATCCAATTAAATAATATGCATTTTCTGGCCAGAAGTAAAAGTTTATTGAGTAATTTCGATCTTTTTGCATCCATAACTCTATTCCCTGAAGGTAGACCTAATAGAAACTGGCCTGGATCTTTACATATCCTGTGTTTGAATATTGCTGACACTTCCTTAGATACACAAGACCAGAAAATCGAGATTTTCGAACAGTTCCAAAAGCAGTGCATATAAGTCCCACTTGACGTTTTACATTTCAGGCACAATGGTGATCTATTGGGGTCAATTTTGTTCATAACATGAGGTGTTCTGTGTTGTCTGTGGAGTATCCTATATTGCATTTCTTTAAATTTACTGTTGAGGAACAGCGAATGAGTGGTCCGAATACATCCCTCCCACGCATCTTCATCATATACCCTTTGAAGGTCCTCCTCCCATCGCTAAACCAGCCCCTCAACACTATGTTGGTTACAACTCTGAAGGCTATTATAAAAGTATGTGATAAGACCTTTCTTCACTGTAAAATTAATTATGAACTTGTCAATTGGTCCCTTCAGTGTTTCTGTTTGAGATACTTTAAGATTCGTATTGATGAAGTGACGGGCTTGAAGATATGCAAAAAAATCTTTTGGTGGAAGACCAAATCTATTTTGTGCTTGTGAAAAGGACATGAGGACATTGTTATCATCAAACAAATCTCCAACCACTCTCACGCCCTTTTCCCGCCAAGAGCCGAACACAGCATTTTCAACACCAGGTAGGAAGTCCCTGTTGCCCATGAGTGGGGTCAAGTAAGAAAAGGCACCCCTCCTACTCACAAACCCTTGCATGTCATGCCATATTTTAATAGAGCTATGAAGTAATGGGTTGTTCCTTACTTGGGGAAGAGCAGATTTTTTGCAAGTGAGTTCCCCTAATAGTCTAAATGGGACACATGCCCAGGATTCAAGTGGGTCCTCTGTCCCCTTTAAGTAGCAGTGAACCCATTCACATATGAATCTACTATGACAAGCCCAATTATAAAGTCTGATGTTAGGGAATGCTAGACCTCCACTGCCTCTCGGGAGCTGTAGGGTCCTCATACTTAACCTGGGTTTTTTATTTTGCCAAATGAACTTTGAGAAATCCTTTTCAACCTCTCTTGCTAACTTTTTAGAAATAAACAAAGGCAACATCTGCATGGGATAGAGCAGCCGAGGCAAAGCATTCATTTTTAACAAATTAATTCTGCCCATCCAAGAGATTGGCAGATCCATCCACCTGTTAAGATCACTCTTGATATCTTTATGTACAGTGTCAAAAATTTTTCTAAATAAATTCTTAATACTCTGAGACACAAAAATACCCAAGTATGAGAACCCTGAAGTAGACCAAGAGAATGGAAAGTTTGGTATGTTTGGTATGTTTGGTATATTATTACCATATCCAATTGGCATGGCCATTGATTTATTAAAATTAATCTTGTATCCAGAGAAGGATCCAAAGGTCTGGATGACTGACATTAAAGCTGGTATAGACACCTCTGGGTTAGTGAGAAAAAGAAGAACATCATCCGCATATAATGCAATCTTATGTGTTGAGGAATTAATTTTGAAACCCATTATGCTGTTATGTCTTCTAATAGCCTCTGCCATTGGTTCAATGGCCAATGCAAAAATAAGTGGGGACAGAGGGTCCCCCTGTCGAGTGGACCTCCCCAACCCAAACTCCGATGATTTAATACCGTTTACAAGAACACTCGCTCTGGGTGAGAAATATATCAACTTAGTAAGTTTAATAAACCCCTCCCCAAGTCCAAATTTTTCCATGATCGTGAATAAATAGGGCCATTCCACGCGATCAAATGCCTTTTCGGCGTCAAGTGAGATAACAAGACCCGGTACCTGATTAGTATTTGCATACTGCATAATGTTAAGTAATTTTCTCATATTGGTATAAGAGTTCCTGCCTTTAATAAAGCCCGTCTGGTCAGATCCAATTAGAAGTGGCAAGTAGTTCTCGAGTCTCTTCGCTAATATTTTAGAAAATATTTTACTGTCCACATTCATCAGGCTAATAGGCAGGTATGAGCCGCACTCGTCAGGGGGTTTTCCCTTTTTAAGGATTAAAGATATATTGGCAGCATACAACGAGCATGGTAGGGAGCCCTTCTCTATTGAGTGAAGGAACATCCTTAGCAGAGGTCCATCTATTAAGTTTACTAATTTTTTATAAAACTCTGGACCATAGCCATCTGGCCCCGGGGCCTTTCCATTCTGCAGGGAATTGATTGCATTTTTAATCTCTTCCTTAGTTATTGGTTTTCCAAGAGCGGATTTATCTTCTTCTGATAAGGAGGGGAGACTAAGCTTATCTAGAAAACTCTGTATACAGTTGGGTGATGTATTGGATTCTGAGGTATAGAGTTTTTCATAAAAGCCCTTCATTATCTCCACCATTGTTTTGGTCTCATAATGATTTTTCCCAGTTTCGTCCTTTAAGGAGGAGATAGCTCTAACATCTCGCCTACCAGCTGCCAAGCGTGCAAGAAGTCGCCCTGGTTTGTCACCCATTTCAAACAATCTATGTTTTGCATAAAAGATACTTGCTTCTGCCTTTTGTGTAAGAAGTTGGTTGAGAGCAGATCGTGTGGCCTCTGCTTTTTTGAACAGGGCTGTAGAATAATTATCCTTTAATTGTCTATCAAGATCAGTCAGTTGTCTCTCCAAATCCAGCTGCTCTCTCAAAGCTTCCTTTTTTCTGGCTGTGCTATATGAAATTATGGCTCCCCTCAAGTAAGCTTTGAGTGTATCCCAAAGTATTGATGGATTAGTATCCTCGTTATCATTAGTTGAAAGAAAAATATCAATTTGTTCTTCCATAAAAGTCATAAACGAGGGATTAACCCAGGGGTTTTTAAAGTGTAGCTGGATGAGCAAGCTATTTTGGATTTTGCTATTTTTTATTAGTGTATTCTACTTTAGCTCAAATACTGCGAGTAATAATCTTAAAAACAGTTGCATTGAATTATATTATATTACAAATAATCACAATGAATCCCTGTCTCAGCAGTTAAATACATTGCTTTTTATTATGTGCATACAGAGACTGGAGCATAAACTAGTCATAAAAATTCATACTTGAAAATAACATTTTGAATTCATGTACATGGTCACATTTACAGGATTGAATCGAGGAGGTGGTGATATAGTCAGTCAAAATCTACTCCACCAATTACAGTGAAATAAAAAAGCATCATCAAAACAGACTTACAATTTACAAAACAGCCTTGCAGAGTCTGAACAGTCAGCTGTACACTTCATGAGCTTAACATGTGGTGTTATGATGTAAGGAAAACCTCGAACAGGCTGGCGACTGAATGCATGCGGTAAAAGATGCCAAAAGGAAGTCCGACATTCACAACTGCGGCCCACATGTTGAATTTGTAGAATTCTGTTTCAGTGTCGTGGTCAAACTGGGGGCGAGCTCCAAACGCTGGCATGATCCACAGCTGCCAAAGACAGAAAAAGGAGAACAGGTTGAGTATTAAACGACTTTTTTAAAATGTGGATTTGAATGTATGAGGATGAATGATACTCACTATGACGTTTCCCAGCAGCAGAAACACACAGACCTCCTTCAGAACCCGTCTCTTCCACGACAGTTTGGGTCGGTGCTCTGTTGAGTGGCCATGAAGGCCGTGAAGGCCGTGTGCTGTGGGTACTGAGCTGGGTTTTGTGTCCATTTCTGATCCTTCAAAGCTGCTCAGCTCTTTGTTTGGCTGCAGCACATAAGGATTTGAGAGCACAGAGACCGTCGGCTCCACCTCATGGAAAGGCTCCCTGTGTAAACCCTCGATAATGAAAAAGTTCTGCAGGGCGAGCTGGATCACCATCAGGAGGGCCCAAGTTAGGTTGAGCCTGTTCAAGTGGCCTTTCGCTCCAGTTGCAACCATAGCAACGATGGTGAAATAGCTGATGATGAACTGCCCTAGGGAGGCGCCTACCAGCAGTCCCACATCCAGGCTGCGCGTGGGGTTTTTATCTGACACGTGCTCCCTGTGGTCCACTCTGTACACCGCACAGCCGATCACACTGACGACCGACATCAGGGTCACTATTACTATGTTCATAACAAAGTGCATCATCACTGCTTTGTCCGTCTTGCTCTCATCAGTATCATCTTTCTGTATTTCCATCTCATACGCGATGAAGGTTGCCAGACCTGCCACCACTAAGAGGACCCCCGTCACGGGACCGAGGATCACACCCTTTAGAGTGAATTTGATCTTGTGGTGAGTGTGATCGTCGACCACTCTGCCGACATTTTTCCACAAGACGTAGGCCATGGCGGACGCAAAGAGGCAGTACTCGATGTTGAAGGGGTACAAGTAGTAGTAGGCTTCCTTGAAGATGCTGCATGAGGAGTGGCTGCATTTGCACGTATCGTCTCCGTAACCAGCTGAAAAACACAAAACACAGAGAAAAGTTAGTGAGAAATGAGATTTTTATGATTGCTGTGTCGACTTTGCTTTATTTACTTCCTTTTATTACCTCTGTTGATGTACAACCTCCGTCCCTGGAGTTTAGTAGAGTTACTTGTTGGGTACTCGGGTGATTCAGTTTGGTGGAGGGACTCCTCGGTCACAGCAGTCATCCATATGACTAGGTTTGTGGAGAGAGTGAGCATCAACCCACAGCTGAATGAAAAGAGAAGGAGAAAAAAAAACATTTAGGGAACAGATACAGTCAAAAACTTGCATATTAAAACTCAAAGTCATGATAGCAAAAGCATTTCCAGGCTGAATCTTGTTCACTAAATTATTAAGCAGCCTAAATCAGTGTATCTTTCTTTTTTTATGCTGAATCAATCCAACAACTGTAGCTGACTCAGAACGCTGCAGCTCGAGTCCTCACCAAGACCAAATTGCGAGACAGGTTTGGACAAGAATAGATTTTTAAATATACACCCGATTCATGAAGTATTGGATAGTCTGGAGTCAAATTAATAAAATCTATCCAGACCACTTCATCTGGGAGAGTCAGGCGCAAACACAGAGAGGCAGCATTCAGTGTTTATCTTTCACATATCAGGAACAAACTCCCAGAGAATGAAACGCTTATTATTTACAGCTCACCTGTTAACTGTCTATTTTTACAGAAAATGTTAACATCTATCTTTACAACACTGCAAGGTCACTTTTAAACATGAATTATTGCATTTTAATGTTCTGTTTTTGCTGTTTTTATTTCTCTTTGCATTAAATTGAAAGGCTTTTTAAAAGTCTGTCTTTCACATGTTTTTAAAACGTTCTTTTTCCATGTGTTTCTGTGATTTCTGTCATGATTCATAACTTGTGTGAACTGCCTAGTTGCTGCAACGTGCTAAACAAATACATTTGTCATGCCTTGCCTTACCTTGAATGCAATGTAAATATTTGCTGGTTTCACAAGTCCACCACGGTGAATACAAAACTGAAGGTTTTTGTCTATTTTCTATTTTCTACTATGTCTATTTTTCCCCTCACTGAGTTATGTCATCGCTAAACATTGAATTTAATTATTAAACCATTGAAGAAAGTACTTTTCTGTTGCTGCTCTGTTACAGTTTACAGCGAAAGAGCTTTCTAATGGTCCGACCGATGAGCTATCTCCCGTTTTGGCAATAAAACATCAGCATTGTGCCAGCAGCTTAAGTGTAAAAATATCCTCAGTTGTCGAGGTTAATCTCAAATTTCAGAATAAATCCCCTCAGGGTTAGTATGTTAACAAAGACAAAAATCCATTAATCACCTACCGCGTAAAGTTCCTTTGTAGCTGCACACAGTCCTTGGCATGGATCCACAAGAAGTAAGTCTGCGGAGAAAAACATCCCTTTAACACTTTGCGTTTCCACAGGACTGAGTAAATGTTGAATTTCTGTCTCATTTTTTACCTGCACAAGAATAAAGACGAGCTGCACCACGGGGAAAGCAACCTTTACAGCAGAGTCGCAGTGAAGGTAGCCCACGTAGCTGGCAATTTTGAAAATGTCCATGATGATACTGAGGATCCCAAACAGCACGAGTCCAGCTGAAAAACAGACAAGAAGAAAAGTCATGAAACTTTCCCTAAATATGCAGGAGAAGCTGAAAACTTCACTCTACAGCAAGAACAGCAGCAACTTACCTCTGAGCCACACAGGTCCAGCATGTCCATCTTTGTAAATGACAGCATTTTCTTTCCTTGCTGTGTAGATAACATAATAAATCATCCAGATGGTGGTGAGGAGGAGAAGGATGATGAGGAAGATCTGCAGGTCAGGCATGCTGATGTTCACATTGTTGTAGGCACTGCTGCTGACCAGGGCACTGCCCAGGATCAAAATGTTCACACTAATGATCCCGGACAGCATCCATCCCCAGTTTCGACCCCGCGCCTTTGCCGCTCCGCCGCCGGAGTCCTCCAAATCCAGTTTACACACGCTCTCCACTGAACCCGTGGTGTTGACGTTGGAGAGGTGGGCCTCCTCCGGCTCCCTGTCTTTGGCCGTCATCCTGCATGGTTCACAGGGATTCCCGTCGGTCAGACAGTTGCAAGGAAAGCCAGTGTTCAGGCACATGCTTCTTCAAAGACCTATTCACAAATGAACTCTCAGTTGCATCTGGTCCCAAATGAGACATTACAGGTCTAACAGCTACACCCACTTATTGGCTCACAGTAAGGATAGATCCCGCCCAGGTGAAACCTTTCCATGGGCACAAAATCAGCATAATTGTCACCCTGTTGGAGCTTCACAAAAGATCAGTTTCAAATCAACAAATGGGATTTAATTTCATTCTCTCCTGCTCTTGTGTTGCATGCTAATTGTATTCAGAGAATCCACAAACATGTTTACAGGGATCAGCTTTGAGAAGAGTCATCTACACGAACCCAGATAAAATCAGGAATCGCATGAGGAGTGGTGAGGCAGCCTATAAGTGTGTAGAAAAAAGCTCTAGATTACCTAAATTGAGCTCTTATGACAATTCAACAAAGCGCTGACCTTTAAGAAATAAAGAAAAAGGTTTCAGGATACCTGTAAGCCTACCTGATGTGTAGCGTGATCCTGAGGAGCAGCCGGGGCTGTCATGGCTTTTATACGCCATCAAAAACACGGTGGTTTACTGTACAAAGAGTCATAAATGTCAATAATCTGTTATGAACAACACAATATTATTACCACACACAGCGTGTTTTGCACAAAATATTCATCCAAAGTTCAAAAGATGTTTCCAGGAAAAACTTTTTTTACAACTTCAAAAATAGCAGAAACCGGTTCCTTTTTTGAGTCACAGCAGTTTTTGTGATATGATATTATACATTTTAATCCTCTTCATTCATTGCAAGAGACGTAACAGCACACACAAAAAAACCCACACTGAGTAAGAGGAAAGAAAATGCAAATAAAGAGGATGATCAGAGCCTCTTTTTTTCGTACTTTACAGGCTTTATGAGCTTTTTCCTTGTTCATCTTCATCCCCTTTTTCACCCCCTGCACCTGACCACATGCAGCCTCACAATCTGAATACGATCTAAATTCTCCAAACAGGCGTAGCATGCTCACTCGCCCTCCTTTTTGATTCACTGCTGGAAGGGAATACTTTCAGATCTTTAATGCTATTCATGGCTCAGCGAGAAGATGTGTTTCTGTATCTTGTCTCTGCAAAAACGCCCGAGGTAAGGTACATGAAAAGCCCGGCCACTTTCAGCGCCTATTGTTATGGAAGTTTCAACTGGGCTGTGTGTCTGAGAACTCAAGTCTCTAAGTCGCCTGTGCACCTTTTACTCAATTTAGATCGCCAATTATGTAAATTTTGTTTCTTCTCATCAGGGCGTGGACGAGAGCAGAGGTGCTTCATTGCAACACTCGGTGGTATCCACTCGTGTCTTACAATCATGCAAGTAAGGGGAAGTTGAAAATCAGAACAATGGTTTATTGAAAAGAACATGAAAAACAATGACTGCTGCCTGGTGCTTTTTCTTCCCTGTGTATGCCAGGCACAATGAGACATCTGCGGAAAAGAACTTTCACATTCTCAAAAGTCTGCGAGTCATTTCCTGACTGAACTGGTTCTGATGACACAACGATTTTTTTGCAATGGATGAATCTTTGTTGACATTATTTATAGTTAAGGCATGAGTCTAAGAGCGGCATTTAGAGTTTCAGTAATGTTTTCAGATTCAATCACATGATAATGGAAATATTTGCCCAGCTATCAATATCATATATTAGCTTTATTGGGCTTTATTTATTGAAGTGAACACTTACTATTTAAAATGCTTTTTCTCGGGTCAGATCAGTAATTCCATTTATCATTAGCCTCTAGCAGTGCCTGCAGCCAGGTTAGTTTATGTCTACACTCACTAGTCATTGCATTGGGTAGGACTTGCAAAATCCAGTGCAGATTTATGCAATGATCATGCAATACACCCTACCTTGATTTAAGTTATTTTTTTAGTGTTTTAGAGAATGTAATGTTAAAGATTTCCAACAGAAAAGACTGTTACTTTTAGTCAGGTGTGTGAAATAAACCAGGGGGCCGCAGAGACTGTTGATGTTATTAAGAAGAGGCTCAAGACTCACCTTTTTAACCACTAACTGCCTTTGTATAGTTCTCTTATTGCAAATACTCATTTTAATCAAAGTTCTTAGTGTTTATTTTATGTAATTTTATTGATATTCTGTTCTTAGTCCTTTTCTTAATTCCCGTCTTAGAGGTTTTTTACTTCTTTAACCCCTTTTACATGATAAAGAGCTCTTACTTGTTCATTTAATATTATTTTCTTGTTTTAATCTTGTTTTAGTCTTTCTTTTTACCATTTTATTTTTTATCTTTATCTCCAGTGTTTCCCAAAGGTTGCTCTTTCCTCACATAATGTCTCGGTGTCACGCCATATCTTAAATTCTCACACTGTGTGTGCGTGTGTGTGTGTATGTGTGGGTGAGTGAGGATGGGTGTGTGTCTTTGTGTGTGTGGGTCCATGGGTGGGACGTTTGGGTTTAATTGTTGTTAATTGTTGTTTTTAGCCTCTGTGAGGCACTTTGAACTGCATTTTTTGTCTGAAAAGTGCCATAAAAAATAGAGTGGAATTCAGATGATGAATGTTATTCAGTATGTTAAGTTGCACAGTCTCTTGTACAGTGATTATAAACTGTACGGTGGCCCTAAAGGTCAGCTAGATTAATGTCAAAATATTTCTCTAAATGCAAAGGCTATATGAAGAAATTTGAGCAGCACAAAATTATTAAACACACACAAAAAAACATGTTGCTAAAATGGAAACACATTTTATTGAATTTAGGTGAATTTAAGTTTTTACAGAACTCAAAAATATTTTGTGTTTTTCACCAATTTTTTGTTTGTTTGTTTTTTATTGCTTTTTGGAGGCTTTTCGAAATATTTCTGAATTTGGTGACGTTTTGTTTTGCAAAAATTTTTTTATATGTTTATGTTTTTATATTTTTTTTATGATTTCGTCAACTAGCTCTAAATTTTGTATTGTGACTTTTCTTTTCTTTTTTTTAATAATTTGATTTCATGAACTAGCTGTATGTTTTGTAATGTAACTTTTTCTTTCTGTTTTTTTTTTTTTTTTTTTTTTTTTTCTTGTTTACAAAACGTTTGAGCGTTTGACCTTCACGGCCCCCGTACTTAAGGTAAACAACATGTTGCAGGTTTGAAAATGCAAATCAAAGTTACCTGATCAATATGCTGCAGGGGGATTTGGTGGACACTGTTTGCTTTAGGGGGGAGTTGTTGTTGTTCTGGTCTGCTTCGGACCACCACCGGGAGCACTGTTGCCCACACGGTTCACATCCTGGCGTCCCTGGAAACCACCGACGCGCTCTGCCTGCTGCCCCACTTCTGATCTTGGGGGGGACTGTTTGAGACCAGTGGGACACATTGGCTCCTGAGCCGGTCTGCTCCTGCTGCATCGACGATGATGATGGTGTTATTGTTGTTGAAACGGAATGGAGTAGAGCAGGGTGGATTAACCGTGCACCATGAATGACAGGTACCACAAGGCGGCCCGGGACGGCTACCTGGACCTGCTAAAAGAGGCGACGCGGAAGGATCTGAACGCACCGGATGAAGATGGCATGACACCGACGTTATGGGCCGCTTACCACGGCAACCTGGAGGCTCTGCGGCTGATCGTGTCGAGGGGGTGGGTAAAAACACTGTTACATGACTTATCAGGGCGTGTGCGTAATATGGTGAACAGAGCCTCATCTGTGCAGAGCAGACGGGACTATTTTACCATTTCCACTGATTTTATTTAGTCTTTTCCAGATCAAAATGCCTCATTTAAGCAAATTATTTCAATTACAAAGTGTAAAGCTGCACATGAAGAATATTCGAATAAAATTGCTCATTTAGTGGATGTTTTTTTGCAGTTAAACCACTGATACTCCAGGAACAATACACCACAAAGCATTTAGGTCACCTGCAGCAATTATCTGAGTCCATCACACCCTGGAGAGAGGTCAGGCCCTGACATACCAGCACATGCACCGCCTCAGGCTTTGCTCCCAGCTTATAAGAACATTTTTATCTTCACAACTTGTTTGGTAACTTCCATATATTTGGACATGCAACTTGGAAAAATTCACCAAATTGGGCTGGACACTTCTTTGAGCTGCAGATTTAGGTCTTTTGCAGCAAAGGAAACACGCCTCATGAGCTAAATTCAGAGTTTACATTTATACAACTTGCATTTACAGAGGAACAGCTGTATACTTTTAGTGTAGGAACTCTTAGTAGGATAACTTACTGTTAAAAATTGGATGCTATATTGCAATCTGAGATGAACCAAAGGCCCTTCGACCTGGGATTAGTCAAATATTACTGCAGGAATAACAGCCCATCAAGGAATCTGCAGCCGTGCACGCTATAACAAGCTCAACTAAAGGCCATCTTTCAAAATAAGGGGTACACATGAAGATCTAGTGATGCAAAATGAAGCTTTGCATTACTTTTTTATAGCTCTCACAAAGAGGCACTGTAGCCTGTTGTTACATCATTAACATTTCCATTGCATCACGAGCGTACGTGGAATATGATTCATCAAATTTACAGTAAATAACATTGTTAAAGCAGTCTGCATCGTGGTATAAACGCTGGCCCCGTTCCAGCGAAGTGAGCAAATGTGATTGTGCGTCGGGGACTGCCGGAACGGGGAAACACAGAATGGCCTATTCTGCGTCTTTTCTGCCTGACCTGGTTTGCTTGTCAGGCAGAAAAACGGGCCTTTTATGAATCTGCTTAATTGAGTGTAGATTGTGGGACTGAACTGTAAAACTACACAGAATCAATCTTTTGTTTTTGATTGAATTTTGCAGACAAAAGACATGATATGTAAAAATTAAGGAAGGAAGGCTTCAAGTTTTACACAATGAACTCCATATTTCCCACAGAGTCAATGTAAACAGGCTTCTGAGGGCATTCAGCTGCCGATAACAAACTATCCCCCCACTGACAGCAGAACACATAATCTCCTGATTGACAAGAGGGGCTAACATTCAACATTAATAGCTGCCATAATGTTTCACAGAAGGCGCCGAACTCGTGAGACCCAAGGATGCCGTAATGAAGATAAGTCTAACACAGCTTGACAATTTCATGGGAAAGATGCCGTGCAGCGTTATATTTGGCAAGTATATTGCACAGGACAGCCTGCGCTGACATCAAGCTGTCATAGGAAGTGAAGATGCAAACAGCCCTTAATGTGATAAAGAACAAGAGGGGGGATAAGTAAGCAGACCTATCACCGCTGTGGTCAGGCTTTTACTGGGGGAGATATAAATTATGACACATAAAGCTTTCATGTGAGATGGCCTGTATCTGTAACAAGCATGTTACGTAATCCCACTTCAGGTGGTGATAAATATTTCATCTCGAAATATAGAACAAATGTAATTGCTGTTTATCTTCGCGCATCAGTTTATCGCGTTTGATATCGTTTCATATCACTGCAGGGTTTACGGTGTATTTCCATTGTTAGAACATTGTTTTATTGAGGCCTCATACTGTCCATCACCCACGCTGATAAAAGCCAAGCCCTGCATTCAAACTCTAAGAACGCTCGATCCCTAAAATCCTCCGCCATGTTAAGTAAATCCTCTCTAAACAAAGAGAGCACATCAGGGTGTGACTTCGCCTTTGATGCCAAACAATACATGCAGGTTTCGAAGCAGAAAATGCTGCCTTTTTCCAGGGATGACCTTGCATAATTCAGCAAGTCAATACCAAACCCCATTCTGCACATATTTCAACAGCACGGCTCTGTTGTAGAAGAATAAAGGTGCCAAACTGACCTGCCTACAGCCCTGACTTGATCTGATCTGGTTTTTTTTGCACCATTTTCATTCATGCGAATCAACAAAGTCTGTTTTAACCAACATTTTACGCAGCATCCCAACATTTTGGGGAAATTGTAAGACTGCAAACAAGCTCCCCTCTCATCTACTGGATGATAGTTTGTTTGCCTTGACTTGAGGAATCCAGCGTGACATCACCAGCCGTGCACTTTTCCAAGTCGAGCGCAGCCCAGTCGGCCTCCCCTGAAATCGGATACAGGTAGTGAAGCAGTGGTGCTGGCAAGCCTGTGGTCATATTACAGACAGACAGCAACAGCGCAGCACAGGTAGAGGTAACATTGAGGTCGTGGACTACCTGCTCGGGGTAAAGGTTGCGTACGTCGCTGTTTATGGCCCCTGCGTTGGAGTAGATGCATTTTGAAGAGTCGCTTTAATCACAACTGTGTAGCTGCTGGTTTGGGAAGCATTTGGAAACATCAGATACTCGAAGAATATAGTAAAAAGTTGATTTTCTAAAGGGGTAATGCGGTGTTTCAACCATAAATTATTGAATACGGCCTCATTAACAGCCCACGGTTGGCGGGTCAGTGCTGAAAAGATTGTCAAAAAAAATCACACGCTCACCACCAGCAGTCTAAGCAGGTACCTGATCAATGTCACGCTCCATATTAAAGGTTATATTTAACATACACTATGTCTCATCTATCACAGAGGAGACCCTGACAAGTGCGACATATGGGGGAACACGCCGCTTCACCTGGCAGCAGCCAACGGTCACCACAACTGCCTTTTCTTCCTGGTGTCTTTCGGTGCCAACATATGGTGCCTGGACAATGACTACCACACGCCACTGGACATGGCGGCCACAAAGAACCACATGGATTGCGTCCGCTACCTGGACGCGGTTGCTGCCAAGCAGACGAGCCTTAATGCCAAGCTGGTCGGCAAGCTGAAGGACCGGGCCTTTCGCGACGCCGAGCGGCGAATTAAAGAGTGCGTGAAGATGCAGAAGAAACACCACAAACGTATGGAGAGGAAGTTTCACAAGGACACCTCCGAGGCTTCTGCGTCAGACGCCATGAGCTTTTCCAGCTACACCAGCAGCTCAGTGAGCCACAAGCTGCGCAACTTCAACGCCGCCACAGTCAGTGTGCCATATTCTCAGGTCGGGAGCTTTTATTTTCTACTCACAGCCTCTTAGACCAGGAAGTAGAAAGAACGTAAATGTGAATATTGAAAATCTCTTTTGATTCCTTCCTTCTAGGCTACTCTCCACGCCACAAACCGAGGGAAGACAAAGATTCAGAAGAAACTAGAGAAGAGGAAACAAGGAGATGGGACTTTTAAAATCTATGAAGACGGGAGGAAGAGCGTGCGTTCCCTCTCTGGACTTCAGCTGAGCAACGATGTCATGTTTCTCAAACAGGGGACTTACGTCAACCCAAAGGACCGTGGCCGCCGCAACGTTCGAGACATGTTCCCCAGAGACAATTACGACGCCATTTCACGTGCCATCAGCGAGCCTGACCTCCACGGGCCTGACGTGGACTACTCCGAGATCAGCACCGACTCAGGACATGATTCGCTTTTCAACCGGCCCGGTCTGGGCACCATGGTCTTCAGAAGGAACTATGTGAGCGGGGGGATGTTCGACCTTGGCAGTCGGGATGAAGCCAACACGGACCATTCAGGCAACAACGTGCGACTGCGCAGTCGGTTGCAGCCGAGCCTGGATGAAGACAGCATTGGCAGTGCACACAGCCTGCAGGAGAGGAACATGGAGGAGCTTCCGTGGGAAGATATCGAACTCGGACTGGATGATGATGATGAGGCTGACACCAGCCCTCTGGAGGTCTTCCTCGCTGCACAGGGCATGAACGAGTTTTTCTCTATCTTCAAAAGGGAGAAGATCGACCTCCAAGCACTGCTTCTGTGCTCTGACCACGACCTGAAGAGTATCCACATTCCTTTAGGACCGAGGAAGAAGATCTTAGACGCCTGTAGGACACGGCTGGAGACCATAGAAGATCCAGACTGCATTGAGGACACTGAACTGTGAGTGGTGAGATTTCCAGTCCCTCAGTTTATGTATGTCAGCATGTTTTTACAAACACAGCGTCTTATCTTGTCTCCACTCTGTTGTGCAGATAATGAAAGTTGCAGCAGACAGCCCTCCTGCTGTGCTCATCCAGCCTTTAAGGTCAGTGCGTCATTGTGGAGTGAATGTCACGAACGGACAGAAAGGACACGATGATTTACCTCTCCTGGTACCTCAGTGGTAACAAAGCAGAAAGGACGCTGTCAGGATGAGTATGTTGAGCAAGAAGAGATGAGTGTGACATGAATTCTTAACAGGATTCTTCTACAGTGTCTTGTAAGCCTCATGAGGATCACTGAAGACAGCTCTGTACTCTGGTTGGTTGGAGCTCCCTGCGCTGCATGGTTTAACAAACTGAAAGACAATCAGTGCAGCCGTGTGTGGTATCATTGTATGCCCTGTGGCATAGTTAGCAGGGACTAAAGTGTAGGGTCTGTGTCCCCTGAATGTGTTCGCCCCTGTGGGGTAAATCCTATGACTTCATGTGCCTCCGCTGCATGTGCCTGTGCATTTGCTTAAAACCTTTCATATCCTGACATTTATACTCAACTCTTACAAATGTTTTCTTGCTCACATTTCACTTTTGTGCATGTTTACATACAGAAAGCCATGTTAGTTTTTCACTGAGATAACTATTATAATAATAAACTTTATTTGTATAGCACCTTTCATGACATGAGATGCAGCTCAAAGTGCTTTACAGGTTAAAAACAAAGCATGAGTGCTTTACAGACAGGGTAGATGATTGGCAATAAAACAATAAAATTAACAATAAAAACAATAAAATTAGCAATTAAAAAATAAGAAATAAAAATGAGCAGACAATAAATACAGAAGCATAAAACAGCATCATAATAATAGCAGATAGTGCGGATATGATCAAGTAAAAGCAAGGGTGAAGAAATAGTGTTTTAAGGTGTGTTTTAAAGTCATCAACAGAGGTTGCCTGTCTTATGTAGACTGGGAGTTTGTTCCATGCTGTCGGCCCATAGAAGCAGAATGCTGCTTTTCCATGTTTTTTGTATGCCATTGTGGGTACTTCAAGCAGGTCAGCACTGGATGACCTGAGGGAGCGGTTTGGGACATATCTGGGTAGACAGCATAGACTGTATATAAGATGGACGCCGTGGTTCCGCCTTCCGCCTGTATATGGATTTGAAGCCAAAAAGCTCTCGGTAATTCCGGTTTTTCCTTGAAACCAGAGCTGTGCAGAAGCGTTGTGCGCATTCGGCCGCGCAGTCGCCGAGAGTCCCTGTGATGACGCTCGGGTCAAACAGTGTATTCCCCCGGAAGAGCTACGGAATCCCTGAACGCCCATTGGCTGTACCAGGTGTCAATCATAGAAAACATGAACCCCCTAATAACTTTTAAAAACGGAGCTGTACAGAAAAAAAAGGACTTGGGCACAAACCAGTCTTACTGTAACTATATGTCAACATCACAACCAGGGGGGAGAAAAAATTATGTTCTGTGTAATAAATTTCTAAAGTTTGTCCACAGTCCCATAAGCTTTGCTGGCGGAGGCGGGACCTGTACTGCAGCCCACCATCAGAGGGTGCTGTTCTCGGGGTGGCTTCACCCAGCGAGGAGGCAGACTCTGTCCATCTTATATACAGTCTATGGTAGACAGTCAACTAGGTAGGAGGGTGCCAGACCATTAAGAGCTTTATAAACAAGTAAAAGAATTTTAAAATCAATCCTAAAAACGACCGGAAGCCAATGCAGTGATGCTAAAACTGGAGTAATGTGTTCTCTCATCTTGGTTTTCGTTAAGACTATAGTGTTGTAAACTATAAGGAAACGCATCAGATCCTGTCGTGTAGACGAGTTTGTAATGAAAAATGATGCAATATTTCCAGTACTGACAATTAGTGTACATTTTTACACCAGTTGATTATATTCCTCTGTATCTTTAGAGGTTTCTGGACAGGGATGTCTGTTTAAGTCACATTTCTAACATTGTAAATGGATCAAATAAAGATACTACTGTTTTTATTGCCTTGTACTTTACTTATTGCACCCTACCGCAAGTAGTTGGTGCGTCATAAATAATATTATCTATCTCTGGCCATAAACCTACTAAAAGCTGTGTTACTTGAACGTGATGAGCTTATCTCAAGATTTATACGGGGAGGTAAAAGACCTTATAACGGTTATGTCACATTACAGCCGCCAAAAGACAAAAGAGGGAATGGCCCTAAATGATTTAAAGACTACTCCAAAGCAGCACAGCTATACAATTATTAAACAATTGTTAAAAATAGAACAACTACATGAATTTTTTTCTACAGCCACTGATGCACACTGTTACTAATTTTACCACACTTGTATTTGTGGTTTTCACAGATCAGTAAGACCTGTTTGTAGCCACATCATGCCACGCTCCTGCCAAAACTTTGATGTGTTTGCGTCTGTCTGTGTGTGTGTGTGTGTGTGTGACACGCACAAAGAGTGGAAAGGACTTGTTTTGGCATTATGATAATCCTCCAAAGCTGCTTGCAGACAAAAGACAAGCGTCACTCCTTCCTCTGTTCTCCTTGACATGAAGTCAGGAAGCCGTATTCTCGATAAACGCCGCTGTCTTACATAACGCTGTTATCACAAGGAAGTGCTGACCGTCTCTCCCATGAAGTTCCCTCAGCATTACTAACATCATATGATGATGCTATTTAAAGACTTGAAAAGCACTTCTGTTCAGTCGTTGGCTCATCTTTGAATCATCATTTTAGCTCAAATTTTCCGCAGGGATTCAAAATCAGTAAACATCTAGTTATTTACTCAGACAGAATGGGAATGAGGATGTTGATTCCCTTCCTGGATGCTCATGTTACACTCGCCATTTCCTCCCCTCGCCCGTGAAATCTGCTGTTTCTAAAAGCTGAGAAAGGCCCACGAAAAAGAGGAGTTAAACAGGGGTGTGGTGAAAAAGGAGAATACTTGAGCCGGCTGAGGACAAAGTACTTTGGGCGTGGTCTTTTAATTCTTTCCTTCTGCTCCCTGAGGATCGCAAAAAAGCAGGGAAAAGCAGCTGAAAGTGAGGAGCCGGTTTTGTGAACTCGTGTTCGAGGTGAGCGCTCTCAGGAATGGCGACTCTCAGCAGTAATGAGGAGGCAGTGGAAGAGAACCAGCTCAGCACAGAAGAGGCAAAGGAGGAAGCAAACGGACCGGGGGATCCTACCCCCAAGATATCTGAGACGCTACTCCCAGAAGATGTGTTATGTGACTCATGCATGGACGGCCCCAGCAAGGCCTTCAAATCCTGCCTGACCTGCCTGGTGTCTTACTGCGAGGCCCATCTGAGACCACATCTGGAGAACGCCAAATTTCAAAACCATCGCCTGGTGGATCCCCTTCACGACATCGACTGCAGGACCTGCGAGGTTCACCATCTTCCTGTTGAACGCTTCTGCTTGATGGACGGCTGCTGTGTGTGTCCAGACTGTGAGACACAGGAGCATCAAGGTCACACGGCAGCATCTGTAGGGGAAGCACGTGTGCAAGTTGAGGTCTGTTTTGGTTATCTAAATTAGATGATAACTTTTGCAAGTTTTGCATCTTTGCAGTGTGTTTGTGATGATTATTTTGCAGGCTGAGCTGCAAAAGAAGCAAGAAGAGATCATTCAGAGTGCTGCAGCAACCGAGAGAGCAATCGAAAAGCTGCAAAGCAAAAACGGTTTAATCAAAGTATGTATTTTTGGTGCATTTATTTAAGTTGCAATGGTGTGGTATAACTCTGTTTGACCAATCTTTTCTCTTCCGCGTTCCAGTCTTCAGTGCAGGAGGTTTGTGTTGTTGTTGAAGAGCAGTTCAACAAGCTGCAGATGACTGTGGAGGAGGCCAGGAAGGGGGCGTTGGAGGTGCTGGAAGGAGAGAAAAGACGGGCGCTGAAACAGGCAGAGGGCATCCAAGCACATCTGGAGCAGAGGAGCACAGAGCTGAAGAAAACTTTGGCTCAAATGAACAAACTGTCCAAGTGCAAGTCTGATGTCGACTTTCTGCAGGTAAACAAGCTTGTGAAATATTCAAAAACCCTGAACAGCCCTACAACGTGTGAATCTATTTCCGTCAGAGGCCATCTGATCTGGGATTAGTACGGGATGTTCTCTGAGACAAAGGGTTTATTTTGGATGCCAGTCTGTTGAAGGTGTACACAGAGTTTTGATATTTCAGCATTTTCACTCATGAAAGTTCTGGATCAGAGAAAAAAGGGGGTTGCCAATTCTGAAGTAGCAGCTTGTTCAACACCATGATACTCGATTCACCTCATTTGTCTCACACTTGTACTTACAGGAGTACTCAGAGTGGAAGAAACGATTCGCAGACGTGTGTCTGCCCGCTGCTAACATCAACCGTATGGGCTATCTGACCTCATATGTTCAAGTTGTGACGGATGCCACACAGGAAATGTGTGACCTGATTCTGTCATCCTACAGGGAAAAGCTCAACCTGGTTTGGAAAAGTTGTGAGTGTAAATATCATATTGTATCCATAACCTTACATCTTTCAGCCCCTCACAGAGAAAAACCGCTCCAGGTGTTCACCTGTTATTGTCTCCTGGAATATGCCCCCAGCAGTTCTTGGTAACCTCTTTCTATATGTTTATCTGACGTCAGCGGGCTGATCACTCTGGGCTGAAATATTTCCACAGTTATCGTATGGGTCACCACGAGGTTCATGTGTTATTGTCTCTCAGAATTTGCCCCCAGCAGTTCTAGGTAACCTCTTTCTATATGTTTATCTGACGTTAGCGGGCTAATCGAGGTGTCACACCACATTCATTGAAGTGGATTAATTCTCACTCTGTATGTCTGATTGAATTTTTATAAGTCACAAGTTTCACGTTTAATAAAATGACACAGCAGCTGCAACTGAAGCATTAGGGCCTGTGTCCACTGACAGTGTTCTTATACACAAAACCAATACAGCTCAGCAATTTCAGCGCTCAGCGTCTTCAGCTAAAAAAAGCCTTTTAGCATCAGTTGTTTTTTTTTTGTAGTTTAACCAACAGTGCTTTTCATGCTGTTTTTAGGTTTTATCTACGAAGTCCATCATCAGATATGAGATGAGCGTCATAAACCTAGCAACAGTTTACACCAGTAAAAAAACGCTCTGAAATTCAAGCTGTGGAAACTACCTGGGCAAAAAAAAAATGCTGCTAGTGGACACAAGTCCTTAATTATCATGGAATCTTGAAAATAAGATAAGAAGAACTTAATTCATCCCCAAGAGGAAATTCTTCATGTGAAAGTCCCTTAAAGGAAAATTCATACGTACGTCTCAGCATTTCTTTTAGACTTGTTAGCAAATGTTAGCATGCTAACAGAAATGCATTATTTCCTTATTTCTCAGGTTATTTCTACTAGCATGGCTGTTAACTTAAAGGGATATTTAGACACCTCCTTAAAGATGAATGTTGCCGACCGCTCGCTTCTTTAGTAATACCAACTTTAGTATTGACCGCGCAATAGCAATACATAGAGCCACGCACTCAACGAAAAAGCCACTCTATAACCACAAATAATGCTCAGAACTGCACCTAACTTCGTCAACAGTACATATAGGGTCCCAGCCATGGTACTAGCCACCAAACATCTTTTTAACTTTGCCTAATTTCTTTAGCAAAGAGACTGAACACAACTCACCTACTCTCTTCCAGTATCCGCTTGTTTGTATCGAGACCTCAGGCCAGTCCATTACAGATTGCTGCAGGCTGACGCAGCTCAAGGAAGAACATTTATGATCATTTTACGCCGGAATATCCCTTTAACAAAGCTAATGTTCAATCTATTTTGTGTCAAATATAATCAATAAGCTCTTTAAGTCCACATGCCTCAACATAATACTGAAAAGTCTCTCTCTGAAATGATGAACCAGGTACCAAATCCCCGGTGCCAGAGTCTCCGGCTGCTTCATCTCTGCCTGATCCCGAGACACGAGAGGACTTTTTGAAATGTAAATATCCATCTTGATATCTTTTTTGTTTTTTGTGGTTTCTGTCTGCGAAATCTATTTGAAATATTCACAAAATATTCCCTTTGCTTTCAAGATATGAGGAGTTTGACCTTTGACCCTGACACCACCCACAACTTCTTCCGTGTGAGAGAGGACAACCGAAAGCTGACCAACACCAGCCCCTGGCAGCACAGCTACCCAGATCACCCCGCTCGCTTCCAGCACTGGCGTCAGGCCATGACCTTGGAGAGCCTTTACCTGGGGCGGCACTACATTGAAGCGGAGCTGAGAGGGGAAGGTGCGCATGTAGGAGTCACTTACAAGAGCATCGACCGTAAAGGAGAGCAAAGCACCAGCTGCATCACCGGGAACGACTTCTCCTGGTGCGTTGGGAGGAACAGCAGAGGTTTCTTCACCTGGCATGATGGCGCGGAGATTCGCTTAGAAGTCAGTGATATAACAAAAATCGGCTTATATATTGACTTTGAGAAAGGCACTTTATCTTTCTACAACATCAGTGATGCCATGAAGCTCCTCCACAAGTACATGGCTGATTTCTCTGAGCCTGTATATATTGTTACTTGGCTGTCAAAGAAAGACAATATGGTTGCTCTGCTTAATGTAAAGTGATATTGTGATGCTGTAGAAAGGTGGCTTTATACACAGCAGAGGATTTTTCATATGCATATCATTGAAAAGTAAACTTACTACCATCTAGTGGTAACTCTGCAGCATAAACCAGTGCAGGAGCAGATCTATTGACATTTTACTGCCGCTTTATTGCAACTTTATTGCTCTTGATTGTGGTACGAATGAGACGAAAAGTACACAAATGTCAGTCGGTAATTATTTTATTTGTCTAAAGTCCATTCAGTCGTAAAGTTGATTTGCACTGCTCGGTTATTTAAAAAACACAAGAGGACTTCATGTCCACAAGGTTAATAAAAGCATCAGTTTAAAATTTAAAATTCGATTTGATTTATAATCCCCTAATTCAGGCATTAAAATCCGTTTCATTCTCATCATAAGCTGGATTCACAAAGTGCACACCTGTCTGGGTCATTGAGATTGGAGAATTTGCTCCATTTCCATACAGACCGGGGATTTCAGGCATCAGGTGGGGCCTGTCGAACATGGGATTGTCATAGCCGTGGTCAATAGCTCCGCCGAGCTCTCCAATGTCACTGTTTCTCTTGAATCTGCTCAGAGATGGCATTGAAGGCATCGATGGCATAGAAGGCATTGAAGGCATTGAAGGCATCGAGGGCATCGAAGGCATCTGTGGCAAATGAACAAACCCTCTACGAACTAAAACAACCAAAACAACAACAAGTGAGATCAAAATTAAAACCCCAAACACTGCTCCAACAACAACCCCAGCATTGCTGCCCGACTGGCTGCTGCCCCCAGAGGAGGCTTGAAATTCAGCCCCGGTGATTCCGATGGTGGCGCCTTGAGTACGAGCATCCTGCACGATGTCCCAGGCCAGACTTTCTGCCAGTGTTCCCTTGTCTCCATCCAAGACAACCACCTGGATCTCAGGCGTGGTACCAAAAGGGATGATCCCTATCAATTTCTGCGACTTGAAGACTTTGGACATGCCCAGCTGGATGGATTTGTATTCAGGATTGATGAGAAATAGGTGATGGATCCGCTGCCTGTAGTTCTGTAAGTTGAAAGTCGTGGAAAACTTGACGGTGATAATCGCACCACATACATCACAGCAGTGTCCGACGGGGGAGAGGGGCGTCTTGCAGCTCAGAGATCCACATTTAACAGCGCGACAGATCTGCTTGTGGTTTGCAGAGTTCCCACAATCACAGCCGGTAGGATCCCCACATCCTGAGTTTCCAACAGTGACTGGAGAAGACCCGTGAAACTGCAGGCGGCCTGAGCGTGAGCCGAGATACTGCGAGAACTCAGAATTGCTCACAAACTTCTTTCCAAGCACTGACACAGATTTGACAGGAATGCTAGCCTGACTCGTGCTGGTGGTGTGCACCCTGAAGGAGGAGAGTTCTTTGAAAACCACATCGTCATGCTGGCATGGGACGCTCTCCTCGTGAACGGAGAATAAGACTTGTCCTTTCTGCAGGTCATCCAGGGTTGCAGCCGCTTGCCAGAGAGCTGGGTCGAACCATTCAAGAGACTCTGAATCTTTAAACTTGGCTGGAACACCCGGCCCACACCCTGGATCTTGTCCGCTGACGACATAAAACCCAGCTCCAGAGTTCAGGATGAACTCCCCATCGACTGGAAGCCTCATCTCCCGCACAGCGTGTGACGTCTCCACAAACACAGACACTTTCCTCTGAGCTGGAAACTGAACTGTGTCGCTGCCGCACGGGACGTCACCTTTGTCCCAGTTGGTCTTGTTCTCATAGTTGGTGTCAGGAATCCACTGTTTGTACAGGGCGCTTGAAGCCCCGACAAGACAGAGGAGAAGGAGCAGGTCTGATGTTTTCAGCATCTTGAGCGTTTGTGACGGGCTGGGAGAACATTTGATGACCTTTGTTTCTGACCGTGTGACTAACACATGAGTGCACACAGCTCGACAGTAAACTTGATGAGCTCTGGACAACCTGCTCGAGCGGGTGACCTGTAAAAGATTTACATGCTCTGTTTTTAACCAACCTGTGAGTTTTATCCTTCAAGATTTTTTTTTCTCTTAGTTCAGTTTGTTTTTTACCAAAACATCTCAAACACTTTCCATCCATACTTTAACTCATACTCCCTATCATGGTTGTTTTATTTGGATTTTGCACAACACTCCTGGGGAATGATCAAGAACTTCAGAGAATCCCTCTTCTACGCAGTTATGTGACCTTTAGGGGTGAACAAAGTACAAAACTTCATCATTTGAATGAACGTGGAGATCCTCCAGGTCAAATAATACTCAAATTCAATTAAAAGTTGCTCAGTTGAATTATTAATAGAATTGGAGGTCTTGTGTTCTTGCTTTTAAAAAAATACTTTTAAGCTCCTGAAAGTAGTTTTCTTCTCATACTGATTCCTTTTTATGATATATAAAGCAGACAAGAACATCAGAAACATGGTTGTTGCTTTAAAATATTTTAATATTTAATGTCTGAAATCTGTGCAAAGGGGGTAGATATCAGCCAGCTGCAAAAACAGCCCTGTATTTACATTTTTTTCACTTCAAATACTCACAATAAATGACAAATTCAACCAAAAGACTTGATTCAGGCATAAAGGTGAAGTAAAGCAAAGACTGCTTTGTCTACAGGGGCCATCAATTTTGGAGCTTTAAACTACTATTTTAGAAATATTTCATATTTTTGTATTTTCACGGTGCATGAATGGTACATGGTAGTGGTACATCCCACTACATTATGTTCATTTAGAAAATATTACCTATATTCTGCAACAGATTTCAAAGGAAACATGCAAAGTCCTCTTCAAGCCTCTTTTGCACAAAGGGGAGAGTGGGGTAAGATGAGTCAAGATGTTGTTCATCCCTGCAAACCAACAGAATGAGTGTAAACATAACTGTCTTGATAATATAGCATGTCAAATAAAAATGGTCTCCTATGGTCAACTTACCCCGTGTATGTATGGGGTAAGTTGAGCCATATCCCTACATATCCCGATCAATTTCTTTTACCATTTCCAAGCAACAGGGAGTGGCTCAACTTACCCCACTCTCCCCTATGCTATGACCAAATAATCTTCTTTTTCTCAATAAAAGTTCCTTTAGTCACTGACTTTGTAATACCTTTCTATTTTTCTACCACTTAAAATTGCCTGGAGTGTTAAATATGTCTCTTTTTTGTGCAAGAAAGCTGCTTTGCTTTTGGATTCCCAAATGTCAAAAGTCACAAGGACCAGTTTCACAGATAAGCTGATAAGGCAATTCCTGTCTTGAAACAGATAAGAAGAAAAATAAGCATAACAAATAAACCCAGACACCCCTATTGAAGCTGATTTCCCCCTGAGGCGGCGTGTCACCTGCACGGTTGCATGCTTTCAGAGATAACTCTTGTTGTTTACACGGAATCACAATAAAATGTGTTGCCAAGGGGAACTGACGTGGAAATGGCGATCGGAACTGCCCCTGAAAGCCATCAGCCCGCGGCAGCAGTGTTGTGGGTGGGGGGTGAGACATCAGATGAAGTGATCAGCTGAAACCAATTAACACCTGATTGTCTCCACATACTTCACCTTGTGCGCTGCGGCAGCCCCCTTTCCAGGGCTGTCTGACCCGCAGAAAGAGAGACGCTGCTCCACCTCACAGCAACATCTTCGTATGCATGTAGTCTCTGACACGATAAAACAGGTAGGCTTATTAAAAAGAAAAGTCTAAGAACCTGCGCCATCTTCCCTTTTCTTCGGCGCTCAGCTCCTGTTTGGTCGGAAGGAGGGGGCACCATGAGGACTGTGGCTCAAAAGATGCTCCAGACCTGCAACAAGCTTTTCTCTAGGTAAATTTACAACAATGCGTTTTTCACTTTTAATGATTTTTGAGTTGTAACTGTAGCTGTGCACAGGGGCGCCACACGGGGAAACAATGCAGGGACGTATTTAAAGTGAACCAGGATCTGGGGGGATTAGCCTCGAACAATGTGTGGAAGTTGCCATAGTAATGGTTCCAAGGTGCAGTGTGTAATGTTAACTTGCCTCTAGAAGAAAAGACTGAATAACATGTTTGTAATTTAAATTGGCTGTAATTATCATCATGCCAGAGGAGCTTTTTGTCCTCTTGAGGCCACCATCACTTCTGGAGAGTGAGCAAGGAAGTGTTCGGGCTAGATTCGATTGGTAGATATTATTTTACATACTTTTACCTTGTACAAAATCAACTTTATTGCTGACATAAAACTGCTAAATTACTTCAAATTGCAACCCAGGAATAAATTTAGTATACCTGTATATTTTTTTCTAAATTCATAATGTGTTACTGGCTATAATTTCCATAATTATTTGATTTGAATGTGCATGAGTTAATGGGTTAATAGTACATTTTTAATTGCAATATTTTCGTCAGATTATTTTTTTTTTTAACAATTTAAAAAGGGTAATCTGGCGTAAAATTAATTTAGGGTCAAACACACCATAACACAGAGTTAGACACCCCCTCGAGAGATGAATGTCGCCGACCGCCACAGCACTAGCCACCAAACATCTTTTTAACTTTGCCTGATTTCTTAAGCAAAGAGACTAAACACAACTCACCTACTCTCTTCCAGCAGCCACTTGTTTGTATGGAGACTTCCAGGTGAATCCATCGACTGCAGCTCAAGGAAGAACATTCATGATAATTTCCTTATCATTTCCTTGAAGTAATAATCATCATATTAATCATTTTGCGCTGCAGATGTGGTAGTTCTTCTGCCTTAGCATCTCGGTCTGATTGTATTTCCATGAAGAAATGATCATAAATGTTCTTCCTTGAGCTGCGTCACCCTGCTGTAGTCCGTAATAAACTGACTTGAGGTCCGCAGCAGTCTGAAATGGACTCCCCCAGAGATCTCACTACAAACAAGCGGATGCTGGAAGAGAGTGGGTGAGTTGTGTTTAGTCTCTTTGCTCAAGAAATCAGGTAAAGTTAAAAAGATGTTTGGTGGCTTGTACTATGGCTGGGACCCTATATGTACAGTTGATGAAGGTAGGTGCTGTTCTGAGCATTATTTGTGGATATAGAGTGGCGCTTTGGTTGAGCTATGTATATTGATATTTGCAGGGTGTCTAACTCGGTGTTACGGTGTGTTTGACCCTAACTTAAATTTATGCCGAAATATCCCTTTTAAGTTAGCTGGACAGACCTCTCAAAAATATGGAAATATTTTACTTGGCAAAAAAAATTCTGTCTACAATTATTTGATAAAATGCTCACTTTTGTTTAGTGACTTTGTTTCTCATTTCTTAGACATTATTAAACTGTTGTATTTTGTCAAATGCACAAAAGCGAAAAGAAAATTTGCATCGATTCGCAGTCTTTGTGATTTTAAGATAAACTTGTACTCATGACATTTTTTGTTGACCTTCAATATTCCAGTTTGTACTCAAAACCTGTTATCTAAGCTGAACAATATGAGGGTATAAGCAAACCGTTATGACCCATGCCCTTTACAGAAAAACACCAAATGATGTTTTGGAGGGGCATCCGTCCAACATCGAGACAGCGGCACAGATGGACAACATCCAACATTTCTCCAGCCCTCCCAATCCTTCCTGTGTGGAGGCTGCCAGAGAACACGCTCACCATGTGGAGGCGGTGATAGAGAGAGCGCACCATGGGGGTGGATGGCTCCTGTCGGGCATCATCTGCATCAACATCCTGATCTTAGGCTGTGCTCTGGTCAGCGGCAGCGCCTTCAACAGCGTTGCCATTACAGCTGTGCACAGGCAGATCTTCCTCATCATCCTCCTCCTCCTCACTATGCTGTGGATGCTGTTCTACACGGTTGTTACTTCTCGGAAAGAGCAAGCAGTCGTGTTCAAAGATAGTCATGCAGGGCCTGTGTGGCTGCAAGGTGGAAACACTCACTTTTTAGTACTTTTATTTTAGAGAATTGAAATTTAATTGAATCTCATACGTATTTCTCTTTTTATTTCTAGCTGGACTTGTGCTCTTTGGACTCCTCAGTCTCCTCATGGATATCTTCAAGATGGCCACCTATGTGGGCTACCTTCACTGCGACTCTGCGGTCAAAGTGGCCTTCCCTGTTGTGCAGGCCGTGTTTTTGTTTGTTCAGGTTGTTGCACTTTACAAACATACACATTGCAAAAGCATGCAGTCTTAAGCCAAAAACATACAGGATCTGTGTTGAGGGCGTTTCATGAGCCTTGCATCTCTGCTTCGTTGAAGAAGCGCTGTCTATCACATACAGGATGCGTATTATTTGGAGCGTGGCGGCAACGTAGTGCAGCCCTGGGCTCAGTATTGTTTTAGTAGGTTGTTTTGCTTTTCTGTGGTCTATTACCTGCTAATTTTGATATAATTCAGTGACCGTTGAGCCTCTACCATATGTGAAAAAGCAACATGATTTTACCGTTTAGTTTTTTACAGTTTCTTGTGTTTGATAACGTAAACTTTTGTTTCTTTTATCCTAAACTCCTGTTGGGGTCCACATGGATCAGGGATTGACCATCGGATTGTTCTGTGTTACGGATAAATCCATAACCAGGAAGTGTTTCTCATCTACACGAACTGATACACAGCCGGGAGTTTGCATATGGTGTTACCGGATGACCTGCGTGGTTTTCATGCTTGACATCCAGTCTAGAACAATCTTCTTAGTTTGGACTGGCGCGTAGAGCAGCAAAAATAGACTTGTCACGCTCTATATGCTTCTGATACGGAGCTGATACGCGTCCTTTATGCGATGCTCCATTTATTAGAATAGGAACCTGTTTGCTGCGTGATACGCGACGCTTACGGAACGTGTTCAATACGGATCCTTTTTGTTTTAGCCTTTACTTTGATAGAATTAGAAAAACTCCTGTCTGTTTTAGACGTACTTCTTCTGGGTTCATGCCAAGGACTGCGTTCAGCTGCACACCAACTTGACTCGGTAACTAACTCCTTCGCCCACATAAGGATCTATTTTAGTGTTTCAGGGCGCTCATGGTTTCACCCCTGCAGGTGTGGGCTCACTCTGACGCTTTCGACCAACCTGGTGGTGTGGATGGCGGCTGTGACCGAGGAGTCTCTTCACCAAACTGAGATTCCTGAGCTGAATGTGAACGTCTCACACAAGATGTACAGAGGTATTCACACATCTATTAAAACTAACTTTTGATTGTTTGAGAAAAAAGCAACTCAATCTGATCTGTCCTTATCAGCCAGCTATGGTGAAAAGAAGTGCAAATGCACCTTCTCGGTGTGCGACACCTTCAAGGAGGCCTTCTACTACCTGTACCCCTTCAACATAGAGTACAGCCTCTTCGCTTCGGCCATGGCCTACGTCATGTGGAAAAACGTGGGCAGGCTCGTGGATGATCACAGCCACCACCATGTCAAATTCCGTCCAAAGGAAGTGTGTTTTGGACCTTTCATGGGAATACTCCTGGTGGTGGCAGGACTCGTGACGTTCATAATCTACGAGGTGGACATACTAAAAGAAGACGAGGGACACAGGAACAGGGCCCTGCTGATTCATTTCGTCATGAATATAGTGATAATGAGCTTGATGTCCCTCTCCACCATGATCGGCTGCATCGTCTACCGGCTGGACCACAGGGAGCATGTGTCCGAGAAGAACCCCACCCGCAGCCTCGACGTGGGGCTGCTGGTGGGAGCCTCCATGGGCCAGTTCATCATCAGCTACTTCAGCATCGTGGCGTTGGTGGCAACAAGAGCAAGAGGGTACCTGAACGCCCTCAACCTGTCGTGGGCCGTGCTGACGGTGCTCCAGCTGGGCCTGCAGAACTACTTCATAATCGAAGGCCTCAACCGGGAGCCTTTCCACGTGATGCAGGAGGCGGCTCTGCACACCAACGCTCACGCCTTCCAGGAGCACGCAGAGATGAGCACCATAATAGATAGCAATAAGTCAAGCTACTGCCTGACTCCGAGTGAGGATAAGCCCAACTGGAAGAGGAGGGTGCTGAAGGAAGTCTGTGCCTTTCTGCTGCTCGCTAACATCATTGTAAGTTTCACATATGCTCCTGTCGTCTTCATTTAAAGCTCCTCTTTTGAGGATTTTGGTGCCTCTCCATGGAAAAAAGAAGAAGCCTTTTTAGTGCTCATTAGAGATTATTTGCTATTGAAAATGTATATAAAGAGGCATTTTAAGTAGGACTTAGTGACTTGGTCTGACACCTACCCTCAGCCTGCAGTAATGACCAGTCCCGCCATTAATGGTCTCGTTTGTTTTGACAATATCCATGTCAGCTTTTAAGTTTTGTAAAATAACAGTAATCTGTGTTTTAATCCAGAATCATTCAGCTTTTTTTTTTTTTCACTCTTGTTTTTCTGGCAGCTGTGGATCATGCCTGCGTTTGGTGCTCGTCCCCAGTTCGATCACCCCACCGAGATAAAGTTCTACCAATTCAAAATGTGGGCAGCTATCGTGAATATCGGACTTCCTTTTGGGATCTTCTACCGTATGCACTCTGTGGCCAGTCTCTTTGAGGTGTACTTAATTTCTTAGATAGACCCTGTTTTAGCTTAAAGTTGTAAAATAGTGAGGTGAGATTTTTTGTATTAGATTTTATAAAATGTATAAAGTCAGATTTTATCTATTTTTTTTTATTTGACTTAAATCAATAAATTTTATGTGTAAAGAAATCTGAATGTTTTTGTTTTTGTGACCTTCAATTTGCTGAATTGATCTTTCTGTTTTAAGTTTTATATAAACAAAGGCTTTCTCTTTTTGCAAAGTTATAATTGGTCAGGTAAGCGGATCCAAACCTCACAGCATAAACTCTTAACAAAAAAAATCTACAATATACTTTGACCTTTTTCCATTTGTGTAAAAATCATGTAAAGGTTTAAAATTTCAAAAGTTTACCACACCTTAAAGCTCCTGTCGGGAACTTTCGGTCTGTTTATTTTGCCACCCTCAATGGAAAAAGTGATACCTCTTATGTCTCCTTCCCTAAGTCTCACAACACTTAAAAGTATGACTTATAATAAACCCGTCATGAGGAATGTAAAAAATGAGATGTTTCTACAATGTGCTTTAACAGTGAAAACAATAACAGCCTCTATGCTGATAGTTCAGTTTCCTTTCGTAGCTTCTCAAGACGCATTAGTATTAATTTCAGTCTTTTTCATCACCAGCTAAAATTTCTGCACTGGAGCTTTAAGGAAGTGGTTGCAATAACGGGAAAGAATGATTTAACACAGTGAGGGGATTTTATGTAAGATGTATTTGCATCATCTTACAGGATTTCTATTCATAGCAGTTTCTGTATTGTCAGTAATCAGCCAGTCTGAACCCGGCTGATTACTGGAGAGTGGCACAGCGACATCTAGTGACGACTGTGCAAAAGGACTGCTTATTGTGGTCAGGCTTAATGTTGTGTTCAAATTTCTGCGTTCACCAAATTGCTGTCGATTCAACTAGATCGTGAGTTGTTTTCTATTTTTTTTTTCCTATTATGAGGATCCATGTTACTCATAAAAGGCGACCTGGTTGTCTCGTCTTTTGAATACGGAGCCCAAGTTTCAAGTTCAGCTTGGACCAGTTTGTGTGGAGAGTGGGTGCCATCCTTGGAGGCGGTTCTGTCATTTTTACATTCATTAATCATGTGTATTTTAGGCTTGTGTCTGCACTAAAAATACCAGTGAAAATGCTGGGTAAGGAGGACGTTGGCTTTTTCTATTTATAATGCATGAAAACGTGTCAGGAAACGGTGTTAGAAATGGAACCGACGCAGAATTCACAGATGCATATCAATATATATTTTCAGGATAATTTAAGGAAAATACCATTTTCAACGTAACGCATAGCCTGCCAGGTGAAAACTGAAACCTGGCTGAAGACATAAAAACATACAATCTGTATTATTGTTTCCAAAATCCAGTAGAAGTACATTGTCACAAGCTACAACCATTAAAACAGACAACTCAAAGAGAGTGCAAGTTCACTTTTAAGCATAGCAAGAACGACTAAGAACGTGAAACACCTATGTCGTGCCGTCCAAGATTCGTCACAAACCTCTGCTGGAAAGCGCCGCATCATCTTTGATAATTCAGACCAAAATGGTTAACCTTTATCTCCTATTTCGCGTCTCTGCCGGCGAGTAAACAGCCTCAGCCTTCAGGACCCGCTGACAAACATTCTATGGTCTTGAGGTGAAAAAAAAAATGAAACGTACACACACAGTTTTTTTGAAGTTTTGAGATTTCAGTCAGCTCCCGTCTTATCTCATCTCAGTGAGTGCCTCAAGCTTTCAAGATGGAAACGGGGGACAAGTTTAAACACAGTGAGGTGTACTGGGAAATCAGCAGACACTGATGGGAAGAGAAATCCCGCGCTCCCGTTTGCGGTTTTCTGTTCACATCCTCTGAATCTCAAAGAGGCGGACGTCAGTGTCATACCAGATCGGAGGGTCCACGTTGCTGCAAAATCAGAAAAAAAACTGTGAGTCTTTGGAAGTTTGGAAAGAGGTTCTGATTATTAAATCAAACCGGTTTTATGTCTGGCTCACCGTAAGTACACCACACCCCACATGTAGGTGCGAAACCACATGGCAGTCCCTGCGTTCGCCTGGTACTTTCTGATGAGGATGGGGTGAGGAACTGGCAGCAGACCCACTAATGTGCCATGCTGGAGGAACTTGAGGATCTCTGATTCATCTGTCAGACCCCTGCAGTGAAAGAAGCAAAAATGAATCTGAAATATTAATGAGTTTAACACGCAAATGGAAAAAAAAAAAAAGAGGGATATGAAGTGTTGACGTACTTGTCGATGCAGATCTTCTCCACCTGAGGGACCAGCACTTGTAGAAGTCGCATGATAGTCTGCAGGGGTAATTTGCACTTCCAAGACAAGACCTAGGAGACAAAAAGTCAAATCTGAGCAGCTGCACATCCTGCAAATCCGCTGTGTTTGAAAACTGCAGAAGAGGAGAAGTTTCTGACCCAGTCTGGTGTTGGAGTCCAGTATGATGTTGAAGATGCACTCGACAAACGTCGTCTCTCCATTTCTGCTTCAGTGTAGAAAACATCCTGAGAACAAGAAAATGGTTTTAGAGCACACATATTCCTAAAATAACACACACACGCACACACATATATACACACACACTTACTTCATTATCTCTGCCTGAGTTTGATTCCGTGTCGCTGGTCCCGGCAACTGCGCTTTGGTCTGATTGAGCTGCCTGAAGGGCGTCTGACTTTGGAACTGACACCATGGTGCCATCCTCTGAGACCTGGGACTTCTCCGTCAGTTTGTCAATACCTGAGAAAAGAAACAGTTTTAGTGTCGTCAGAGTATAAAAAAACATGGACAGGCCAAGACCAAAGATGACTTAATGATACACAATATCTAACTAGATGTGTTCCTTTAGTACTTTTAAAAACATTAAAATGGGGCATTAAAAGACCTGCCTGTTTCAGTTATTCATAGATTGCCATAAATAAGCCCTTAAACATTACCTCTGCTATTTAAAAATGTCCCAAATATAATACGACAATTATTTATGACATCTGATGTCAAAGTAAAATGATAATCTCCAAAAATATGCTAATGTGCTTTTGAAGTGATTCTTTTTTTATGTGTATACAGTTTATTTGAAGGAGGTTTTCAAAGATGGTTCATTTTTCCAAGAAGAGGCGAGATGAGGTACAAGTCAGCTGTTACACGGTTTATGTAAGGTATGCATAGAGGATCCTGGTGAGGAGTTTTTAAATGTTTTCCAAGCTTTCCAAAAGTCACCAAGACCACCAACAACAAGACTGACGATATCTATACCCTGCTTTTTTAAGGCCTGAAATCGTACGAGGGGGTAGGTGTCAGCCAAGCAATTGGAGACACAGCCCTGTTTTGACAGTTTCCATGGTGACTGATGCAGACAGCAGATGTATGTGATCTGCTGGTATCCAAAGATCCCTGAATATAAATGGTAAGAAGACCCACTTTTGACTTAAGTGGACATTTAGGTTCAGGACAATGGGATCATGGTTTACAGACCTCCACTACCAGGTAACATGGGGTCTCCTCTGCTCTCCTCTCTTTGCTGAGACTCATTTATGGGTCTCTAAATACAGCGTCACTTACACCAACATCAGTGTTTGGATGATCAGAATTCTTAAAATTAGCCAAATTATGTAAAAGAGTTCTTGTTTTGGTTTCTCATCAAAGAGGCTGAGCTTGCAGGGATCCTCTGTGAGTAATACACTTACTATTCACAAGTACTTGATACTATCCCTTTGAGTAGCCAGGGTTTGGGATTCTCGTGACCCCATCAGCAACAGAGCATAGCCTACTTCTCCGCCACTTACGACTGATAAGTACCTTATACAACCCCACTTCAAAAAGCTCTGAACTAACCCTTTAAAATAACACATTCAAGAGATATTACTCATTGTATAGAATACGAGGAGTACACTATGATGTTGCCATTTAGACAGGAAGCTCGTAACATCCACACAGCAGATATCTGAGTCAGTACCTGGCATAGCGACCAGACTGGCCTTCAATGTTCCAGGCTCTGCCGGCACTGCGGGGTGAGAGCCCTCCATGGAAACGGTCTCCTGGGAGCTCGTACGGGAAATGACATCTGGAGATTTCTTCTTCTTCTGCAAGGCCTTCTGGATGGAGGCGGGATCAGAGGGCAGGTTGGCCAACTGGTGGAACACGTTGCGTTTGCGGATGATGGCGTACACCAAGTTGCAGTTTCCTGAAGGCGAAAGAAAAGAGAAACAACTTTACGTCTTTTTACCTTCGATGATGGCGCAAAAAAAACAAAGCTGGAGAGAGCTGGTTCTCACCATCAAACTGGTACTGGATGATATTGTTGAAAGCCTCCAGAAGGAAGAACACAAGGTGATGGTTCTGGGCTGCAGAGAAGAGGAACCAGGTGGTGGAGAAGGCCTCCAGCAGGTGGAGCAGTTTATTGGCTGCCACCATGGACAGACTCTTCAAATAAGGAGACACTGCAGAAGCGAAGAGTATATTTAGAAAGTGATTGTGTTACTTAAAAATGTGAAAACTGAGCTGATGATACAAAGATGGTTCACAGATACGAACCATTCACGATGATAGTGAGCAGGCAGTCGAAGAGGGGCTGCAGCCGCTGGTGGCCTGTGGTGATAATCTTGTGAAACACCTACAAAACAAACACAGTGACAGCTGTGAGAGTTAACTGCATTACACTCAGGCTGCAATAAAGAACCTCTCAAGTGATGTAACCATGGCGACCTCACCACTATGAGCAGGTCAGCGTGAGTGCCTGTGAACACTGGGATGTCCATGGGCACATGGACCGAGTAGGGCTTATTCAAGCGTACGCCGAAGTTCCTCTCCCCGCTCAACAACAACAAAATGAACACGCCGATGTGCATGAGTCCGACACGAGCTGAAGCAAAAGAGAAGATAGAAAATATGTGAGTAGATTCAGACTTTAATAGAAGCTTATTCAGAGTGAGGTTCCTGATAATAACTCACACTGATCCGCTCTGGCGTCATTCAGGTAGTAGAGTATAGGAACCAGGATATCCAGCACATCGCTGCTCTTCAGGACAAAAAACAGGAACTTCTGTTGTGGGAACACAAATAGGATTTTGTTGAGTAACACCAACAGCACAACCCACTTACATTCCCATCGCTGTTAAGCCTTTTCTCCCACCTTATTAAAGTCACAAAGCTTCCAGAAAAGCACTAACAGCTCCTGGTGGAACTGGATCTTTTTGGTAGAGTTTGGAAGGTACGTCTGAGTCAAAGGGTTGGTCAGCAGGCGAGCGAGGCCTTTCAGTACAAAGTCATAGTCCTGTAAAAGGAGAGACAGGAAGTGAGGATTTGGACATCTTATAAGGAAAATCTTAATGTATCTGAAGAGATAACAGCGTGCATACCTCCTCTCTGTGAATCCTTGACAAGTAATTCACAAAAAGGTTTTCAGGGCCTGTAGGCTGCACAAAGACAAAAACACAGAGTTAGAATGTCTAGAAAATTTCAGCTCCAGCTCCAAAGCTTTACAAAAGTTTATCATTAATAGAAAAGACTCTGCTTTATGCATCGGTCTCCGTGTCACACCTCTTGCTCCTCCATGCTGGATGGGGACGGAGGGCGGTGGGGAACCCCGCCGTCGTGCTCCAGCGTCACGATGAGAATCTGCACAGCCTGCTCCACCAGCTGCTCCCGGTAGTCAGAGAAGAGCAGGTGGTTGTAGGGGATGCCGTAGCCCACTGGATCATAGGCGCACACCACATTCAGCAGGGAGGTGAACAGAGGCAGAGCATGTCTGTGGACAAAAGGGAAGACAATATTTGCTCTGGGTGGGTATCTGGGTAAAAAATGTACTAACTGAGTCTCTGTTTACATTACATGCTGATGTTTTTCCATTAAAAACCACAAATTTCAACTCATGCAGACACGGTTAATGAAGTCTATCACAGAAGTGAAAATGCATTTGAAGATAAACTGTAGAAAAATAAAGATTAAAAGAAACTCTGTAAATATAGTTTGACGAAAAAAGAAACTTGAATCTCTTTTTATGCTTTTATCTTAACAAGACATCTTTATATAAACAAAGCTAGAAACAACCTACATGAAACATGAGCAAAGATCATCAGTTTTAAAGATCTAGAGAGCAAAGAGCTCAGCAGATTTGTGTTTTGCTTTGTTTTGTGTAGAATTAGGGCTGGGCGATATGGGAAAAAGCTGATCACGATATATTTTTTTCCGTATCAGTTGATATCGATATATATCACGATATCAAAACTAAAATTTACCAGTGCTTATTGGTAGCATTCTTTTGCAATAGATAAGCTACCGCATCTGTTAGGTCTTTGTGTCTCTTCAATGTTTTGTTGCAAGACGTTGCGCTAGAGATAGCAGTTCTAAAGCAGCTACTTGGTTCTAATTCAGTACATGATTGGTTCAGCGCGAAGCAGACCCGGTGCAACTCCCCCTTTCATTGGCTATTCGTATAGTCTACCAAAACATGGCAGAATGCCAACTATTGAAGAGCATATTGACCATGTTTTATATTGATATTGAGGGAAATTAATTTTCGATATATATAGTTATCGTTTTATCGCCCAGCCCTATGTAGAATCATTGTTTTTTTCTTGCAAATGTCAAATATTTAGATAAATGCACATCATGACGCTTTTACCTATTTTCTGTAGAGCAGAAGAACGTCACCCAAGGGTTTAAGACGCCCGTGTCTGTCGAAGGGGGCAGGTACATGGCCTCTGAGAAGCAGGTTAGTAACAATCTCAGCAGCTCTGTCCTGCAAAACGACAGGAGAGAAAAGGTGGACAAGCAGAAAATTGAGCCCAGTTGATGAACGACTGTGTGATATTGATGTCGCAGAGCACCGCGCACTCACCTGTTCAGATCATGGATGTAGTTTAGAGGCGGAGACTGTGCGAAGCCGACTCCCGCTTCCCAGATGTATTCACAGCTGTCTATGGACTGCATGTTCTCTACCGAGTCCTGGAAGTAGTGCGTAAAAACATCCATTAATGTGATTGTCGTACTCAAGAGTGCAGAATTGAGATTCAACCTTGGATTGATGCTCCTCTAACATTACCAAGGTTGAACCTCAGTTCTTTTTCTCAACTTCTCTGCCTGAGCAACATGTTTTCCATTGTGTGTCTTTTAAAGGAAATTATATAGAAATTCTGACAGTACGCCAACTTTACCAGGGAAATTATAAACCCTTCCAGAGCATTGACTGAAAGCTGAAAAGCTGCATTCCTTTCTTGCTCAAGGGAGACGAGGAAGTCTTCCTTATGAGGGTGACAGTGTCAACAATCACAACCTCTTTCTATATTCTCTTGACAGGTGAGTTAGGTAACTGATGACCAGGAAGAGGGGGAGATGTTCCTTTTAAAAAAGTTCCTTTAAACAGCGAAATAGAGCGTGTAACCTTCTTCCAGTCGCTGCCGTAATAGGTCAGCTATTCTCCATTGTACTCGATGGTAATAAGGTGTCAAGCTTGCACATTATTAGGACTCAGGGTACTCACAGGGCCCCTCTTGTGACTGTGCACTGTGAAATCAGGGCAGAAGAGCAAGTCCGCGATCGCCAGGAGAAGCGACTCAGCCAGAGGTCGAGCCCCATCGTCGTCATCCAGCTCATCCGTCTGGAAACGATGGAGAAACAAGAGAGACTTTATTAAAATGATAAAAATGTGAATATTTGAAAATATGTGAAATATGTGTGTGTTTTCTCACCCCGGCCCGCCCAGCACCGGGAACAGTGGACCAGAAGAATCCCCTCCAGTCCTGATCCTCAAAGATGTAGGGGAGGATGCGAGTCAGGATGCGAGTGCAGTTCAGGATCACCTGCTTTTCCCTCTCTGTTGGGCAGCCAGACTCTGCACCCTGAACAAGCTTCTCGACTGCCTGGATAGTCAAGAAACATAAGAAGGCCGTGCATGAGAGTAAAGCTGCGGCAGCTCTGTCTGATCGCTTTAAATCACTCTGGAAAAAAAAACGTTTTTTTTTTCCCTCTTTAAATGTTTAATAGCTGAGTTTTTACATCATCTGTGCCTGTTTTTCCAAACATGTTTTCTCGGTCAGTCTTTAAATCATTCACAGAGCCTGTCACCTTTCTTTCTAACATTCATTATCACATTACAGTTGTGATAAAGCTACTCTGACTGTGCCATTACTTAACTGTGTTGATTTTAATTTAGAAAATACAAAACAACAGCAATCAATCTTTATAAAGTTGCTGTGATCAATACTGCGCATCACTCGAGATATTTTTATTTTGTTTAATTTGTCAGCCAGTATCTTTTGGCCGTAAGGTTCAGGCATCTGTAGTTGTTTTGGGCTTTTTAAAGAGGTTTACTTTTGAGCATTATTTATCATTAGTCTGTGTTGAAAATAGGTACCAACCCCCTCTGACTCGGCCCAGCTTTAAAGGCTCTCATCTCCTCCTCTTTATTTAATTATGCTCCAAGTACACAGCATGTCTGTTTTGTTTCTGATAGGCAGCTTCAAACGGAAACTGGGACTAAGAGAAGGGAAGCGAGGGAAGGGAAGGGCTGTTGACTCACTTATTCCCTCGTCTGAGAGCATGGAGCAGTGCCCTGCTGACAGACAGCCTGTGCAAGACTCCAACGAGCAAAACTGTGCAGCATTTCAAAAAAACACAACTCCATGATGCAAGCCCAAAACAAGACCCTATGAAATATCAAGCCACAGGGATAAATATTGTGTTGCACGAGTGCATTACCAGTCCGAAAAAGTGCGCACCTTGTAGCAGAGGGTTGCTAAATTTGAGGGAGACTCCTCTCGGACAGCTCTTATCTCTGCAGCTGGCACCAGTGCAAAAACATCCTGGACCGTGGTGGTGGTGTCTGCCCAGAACTGGTCCCAGAAGGCATCGTCTGTAGCTTCCACTGGCTGTAGAAAATATACTTACGGTTATGTTCATAATAATAGCAGTATGTTTAAAAAGGTGAATAAACCTCAAAATTCTTCAAATAAATTGTATTTTAATGAACACAAATGCATTGGGGACACTGAACATTCTATTTCAAAGCAAGAAAATTGGAAAAAGTAATTAAATTTGACAATATTTTACAGAAAGTCAAGAAATATAATGTTAAAAAAATAGCAGTGTTGGCATCTTTCTTTACAAACTCAAAAATGTCTGTATAAACTAAGAAATGCCTGAAGATTTAACTTTCCTGAGAATCCTAAACTAATATTTAGTTACATAACCACGGTTTCTGATAACTGCTTCACATCTGTGGTACATGGACTCCACCAACTTCTGGCACCGGTCAACAGGTATTGCAGCCCAGGACAATTGCACTACGTTCCACAATTCCTCTGCATTTCTTGGTTTTGCCTCATGACCAGCATTTTTCATGTCAGCCCACAAGTTTTCTATATGATTAAGGTCCGGGGATTGTGCTGGCCACTCCATTACTTGAATTCTGTTTGTCTTGAACCATGATTTTGCTCGCTTGCTGCTGTATTTGGGGGTCACTGCCTTTTTGAAACATCCATTTTGAGGGCGTTTCCTCTTCAGGGTATGGCAACATGACTTCTTCCAGTATTCTGATGTACTTAAACTGATACATGATCCCTGGTATGTGATAAATAGGACCAACACCACAGTACGAGAAACATCCCTGTATCATGATGCTTGCACCATCATGCTTTACCGTCCTCACTGTGTACTGGGGCTTGAATTCAGTGTTTAAAGGACGACTGACAAACTGTCTGTGGCCCATAGACCCACCAAAAAACAATCTTACTCTCATCAGTCCACAAAATATTACACCATTTCTTTTTAGGCCGGTCAATGTGGTCCTAGGTAAATTGTAACCGCTTCAGCACATGTATTTATTTTAACAATGGGACTTTGCGTGGGCTTCTTGCTGGTAGCTTGGCTTCACATAGCCGTCGTCTGATTGTTACAGTACTCACAGGCAATCTCAGATCTTCTTTGATCTGAGCTGATCACTGGCTGAGCCTTTGCCATTTTAGTTATTCTCCGATCCATTCGAATAGTCGTTTTTCTTTTCCTTCTGTGCCTTTAGGGTTTTGGCTGCCATTTTACAGCATTTGATATCATTTTAGCTAAACAGCTTATCATTTTCTGCACTTCTTTATAGGTTTTACGCTCTTTTATTAATTTCTTAACCAAAAAACGCTCTTCTTTTGAACAGTGTCTTCAACGACCCATTTTACTCTGTTTTTCAAGGACAAATGCACAGCCAGCATATGCAGCATTACTTGCCTTGATCCTTAAATGAGGGCCACCTGTTTAACACCTATTTTTTTCACATAATCAGTGACTTTACTAATTGAACTCTACACCCCTTTCAGTAAATAATTCAGTTTCACAGAATCAGCAGCATGCACGTCATGCCTGTTGGGTCTGTTGGTTTTCTATATCTTTACTAAACCTTCTAGAAACTTACTTGCAGTGTAGAAGTTGAAATTCTAACAAAAACAGTGATTTACCTTGTTAGTGATGTGGGACTTGAACACAACTGTACATGCCATTTCTCATCTGCATGAGCCAAATGGAGCATTTCACATCACTGAAACTTCAGATACAAAAGCCTCATTGATCTTGCAGTGCATTAAAATATCAGCTTACCTTTGCAGCATACTACATACTTTGTTATTTCGCCTTGCATCACACTAGGCTTGCCCTAATGGTAATGTAAACACATGCTGTGCTCGAGCATCGGCGAGGAAGCATTATCTGACACAATGATCTGAGCACAGTCCACCTGCCGCATCTGCAAGCGTGGTCATTTTCAGACCTACGTCATCTGTCTTATATTCAACATCGCCATCGTTTTTTTTCCCCCTGTGGTCAAAACAAATGAAACGCGACAGAATCACGGATTTTGTTAATCTGCATCACAGAGTGTGACATCATTTAATCCAGAAATTTAATTACCGATGCGACATGATTGACGTATGATGCACGTCGTCTTATTATACCCACCTTAAACACATTTCAATCGTGCACAATATATGTGGGCTGTGTTGTCACCGTGCAGTTTGAACGAGATTGTGTGTTTTTCTTCCACTACATTATGCGCGTAATCACGTCTCCTCTCCGTGATGCTCTCCAAGGCGCTCGCTGGAAACACTATCCTTTCATTTCCCTCTTTGGGAAGCTGTTTTTAAAACACACATACCTGTGTTTTGGTTGTCAGCTGAATCACTGCTTTCCTGAAGTTCAGCTTTGAGTCGGTGCTTCCCATTGCGATTGTTTCCCTTTATACTAACAGGAGCGCTGCTGCTGCTGTTGCTGTTGCCGTGAATCCCTGTTAATCTCACCCCCTTTCCTTTGCTTGAGTCATTGGCGGAGGCGTTTCTCTACTATTGGCTGGCTGGAAATACTGCACTACACAGGGTGTAACTTCCGGGTTGCGAAGATGTCAACAATTCGATCAGCTTGGATGTTTTTTTTCCTTTTTGTGTTACAAAATCTATTTCTTATTAGACTTGGTGTCGCTCCGTACAGCGATGTAATGAATATTAAACATATACTGAATGTCGTCCGGGGGTGGCATGTGCTTTCTAAATGTAACAGTATCAATCTGTTTTAATTGATGATACAGTTTGATATTTAAACCCCTCAAACAACACCAACCTTTGTGAAATGAATAAAATAAAATAAAATAAACAAATAAATAAAAAGTAAATAATAAATAAAACAATAATACAAATAAATAGTGAAGTCTCATGGGGTGACACGGTTCATCTAAGGCTACAGGCTAATGAATGATAGTATTGATCTATTTTTCTTTCTACATCTTTTTCTATTTTTATTTATATATTTATTGACTAGGCTGTTATAGTGGATCAAATGAACTGTAGCTCACTAAATTGTGATTTTATTTACCAGCTTTCTTTCATAATATATCTTCATTTATTTGACATAATATTCTTACTTTTATACTTTTATTTAAACCCCTCAAACAACATAAACCTTTGTAAAAATAATGATTTAAAAAATGTAAATAATAAAACAAAACCTCTTTAAAGTAAACAGGGAAGTCTAATGGGGTGACACAATTAATTTAAGGCTAATGAATGACAGTATTGATCTATACAGCTTCTTTTTTTCTATATTTTTTTCTTTTTATTCATTTATTTATTTATCTATTTTGAGGCTGTTACAGTCGTTTTGATGAAGTGTAGCTCAGTGGTTGGTGGTTTCATAATAAATCTACATTTATTTCAAATGATATTCTTACTTTTATACTTTTATTGTCAATTTCAACTAAAAAGTGTCTTAACGTTTCATGAGCATCCATGGGAAGGGGGTAAAATGAATTATCTGAATTTTAACAAATGTGTTATCGCTCATTACAGTCAGTAATTTACATTTTATTTGGGAGGTTTTAAAAGCTTTCTGTGTGATTCTGCAGACAGGTTTATGTAGAACAAGTGAATATTACAAATCTTATAGAGCACACATTGTCCTAAACTATGTCCCCTGGGGTTGACATCAGTGTACATAATTTAAAGATAATATCGGTATGGACACTTTAACTCATTCTTCTTCATTATGTGTAGATAGTGGGCAGGTATGTTTTCATGTTACCTTTACGTGTTACTCGTATACCCTTGCTTTTCCTGTTGAACCACGTGATATATAAAATGTAGCCTGAGAAACCACGATTTGTCTATTTACATGTGATAATATATCCCTGTTACAATGGATACTCTTCATTCTGCACACACGATGTCAAACAGAAACAACAACAACAACATCAAAAACACTTTGAATCCTTAACATTCTGATGATAATTAAATTTCCGATTATTAATAAATGCACCATGACTTGTGTTAGCGCAGGCGCAGTGTCATGTAAACAGAACTGCTGCGGTTGCTAGCTGAGGATGTAACCTTTGCTGTCATGATTAGCTTATGTAAACCTTAAGATATGAGGTTCCAGTCGGGTTAAATTGTTTGATTGTTCTTTGATTAAAGGAACTCAGAAAGTTTGAGCAATAGATATCTAGGGTTTATAACTGGAAGCATAAGCTACGTGGGTTAGCTTGTGGTACCGTTAGCGTGTAGCCACAGCCTTGTTCACCAACCGAGCTAACATAACGCCAGCTCGTCAACGCCCGGTCTTTATGTGCTTTAATAGACAATACCTCATTTAGCGGTGAAGCTCATGATAGCCAACCAGCTTATTCCTTCAGTGATACCAAAATGATGGTAAATGTCGTGTCACTGTTGAGTGCAATAAGCCAATCAGTTAAGCTAGTTTGCTAACTCCGGTGATAGGCCATCGAGTGACAGAAATCAAACTACTTCAGGTTTGATTCAACGATCAAAAGGATATCTTTGGAGGCTGACTTATTGTCATCATATGTTGACTGAAAACAGGTGAGCAAGTCTTTACTGTTTGAGTTGGTTTCAGTAGCGTTAATAATGTGGGATTTACGGGGAGTGGTTATTTGGACATGATCCGAGTTTATTGTAAGGCGAGGCAGGTGGTCTATCAGGTGTAGAAACAACGAATTTAATGTGTTTGATAGTGTATTTGTGTGTGCTTCATCCACACAGGAAACGACAGCGCAGTGGCGGCGATGAGGAGAGCGGCCACCTGGTGCCACAGGCCAAAAGGCTGAGCAGAGGTCACCCCCTGTCCCCGGAACCGGGCCGGGATGCCTGGGACTCTGAGGTATACACAGTCAAAAAATATCATAGTACTGAAGAAGCAGTGAAAACATCTGACAAAGAGCTGTCACACTGACTTATAAGCATCAGGAGTTTCTAATGATAGTGAAAAGGTGCCCTACTTAGTGCTTATCAAACGACTCTTTCATGCCACATATGTTTACATATTGAGAAATAGTTAGTTGTAGGTTAATAATGCTTATAATCAGAGGGCAGGTGATATCGCATAGCATTTGAGAAAAGATACTAACAAATGAGAGGCGCAATGGCAGGACTTTGGATTTTTTAACTTATTAAGACAGAAAAGAACTGTATAGTAGATATTAAAGGGATACTCCAGCATACAATTAATTTAGTTGCTAACCTGTATACTTTGTACTGTACTATGTTTGGGTGAAAATCAAGGTAACTCACTGCTCATGTAAATGTCCTCATCTCAGTCATCCAACAGTGAGAGCAGCAGCAGCATCAGCAGTCCAGAACATGCGGCTGGGAGCTGTGGCAGCCGCTGCGCTGTCGGCCCCTGCAGCCCCCTCAGCACCAGCGACTCTTCAGAACTGGCCATTTCTACAAACCTGGTGTCCTACGAGCAGATCAACCGCATCCTGAAACAGGCCCACTTCCAAAGCCTGCAGAGCAGAGGCCACGTCAGAGACACATGACGACCTTCAGGCTCCCCTTTCGCCCACGAGTGGACCTGAGTCCCTGAACTCAGGCACCTCAGAACATCACATGATGATTCACTTCACTCAGCTGTTCTCACCCATCTCCAGTTACTGTGATATCTCACAGCTCTACATATCTGTGGATGGAGGCCGGCTCCTGGTCAGGTATCTGGAGGGGGTTCATCATTCAATTAAATAAAAATGATTATCATTTTAGCAATAATAACTGTGTGGTCAAGTTCAACATTTTGTGTGATCTGCTTCGTGTTTGACCAGTTTGGTTTACATGCTGCTCCTTGAGCCTCGTTGTGACTGATGATGATGATGACGACGATGATGATGATGATGAATCCATGTGTTGTTGTCTTAAGTGTTGTATGTAAACAGTGCTACTGCGGCTGCAGAGGTTGCACCAAAATCATTTTAGGCTAGTCAGAGCTGACTTCTTTAGTCTGATCATGGGCTTCTCGGATTATATGATAATGAATCTGATGTCTGTGTGAGTACATGGACCAGTCTCAGGGAGGATTTGCACTTGTCTTGGACTGCTCTTTTGCTTTCATTTTTCAGACAGGGACTCCTTCTGAGGGACACACAGAAGCCATGGGTGTTAGCTCAACCAAGGACACATACACACACCTTCTCAGCCCTTATTATGTTAGTTGATAGACTATTTGAAAATATTTCAATAGATTTCAGAGAATTGTAGTGCAAGGTCAGACTGTAGATTTGGTTTTAGCTTGGATCAAAACTTTTAATGCAGAATGTAGTTCTGAACAGTTTTAGGAATTAAGAGCCACAGCCCTTTACTTTATTAAAATTATGGGACATCTATCTCATACTTTACAGACAGTAAAGTTGTTAATTTCTGGTACAGATCATGATTTAAATTTCGTGCAACCTGAGATGTGTACGACACAACCTATCCTGTTCTCTTGTGATCAATGAGCAATAAGACCAGATTGTGACCTCAGGGGCGGTTATTTCTAATCAATAGTGTTGCCAAATGTTTTCACCCATGTAGGGAAACAGAAATTATTACAATCTTTTCCGAAGAGGCGCAACTCTAACCAAAAGAGGAGTCAGTGTAACATCAGCAGAAAACAACATCAGACAGGTTCCTTCGTAAGCTTATTTAGGGGAAACATTTGGCATATCTTTACAATTGAAATAGGACCTGATTCATTCCACCATTGATCATAAGAGTACAGAATTTAATTGTGTGAGAACTACACAACATTTAAGTTACTTATGACCACAGACAAACAGAAGTTCTAGTTACAGTCCATAAACTTTCAAACGTCTTGGACTTTCCAATTTTGCTTTGATAGTATAGGACGCTGCTGAATGTGGCGTTTTAGCTCGTAGAAAATGTAGTTCTTTCTGTCCGGACGGGGTCGCACGACACCTGTAGGATCAAAATCAGCCCATTAGGCTTTATACTGGAGCCTGTGCACTACTGCTCAATGGTTGCTGCATATGTGTCCCTGTGCACTGAACATCCAGGTACAAGCACTGACCGAGAGGGTGCGCAGCTCTCCCTCTCTTTAAAGCGGGATCAGTTTTTTGCTGGACTCCCCCTAATCCAGGACTCAGAGAGTGGATGTTAATTATTTTTTTTCAGATTGGTGTATCAGATATAAATGCATTTTAAAGATGTGGTTTATTTTTTTTAGTGAAATATTTTTTGTATTGAGTAATTTTCATAACATTAACCTGCCATTGGTTTTATTTTTGTCTTGTAAATACCCCTTCATTTAATAAATAAAGTTAATGTTTTTGAAAATAGAGTTCTTTACTTTTAATGACTCATCTTGTTGTTTTTAAAGCTCTTGTGAGGAACTTTTCATTTGCATTAGCTGTGGGAAAAAAAGGCTTCCACCTTCCCCTTCAGACTGGTTTCAGGCGTTAAAGGGATATTCCGCTCAATCATAGAGTAAAAATATCCAGGCTTCATTTAAATATCTCAAACATGTTGATGATCATTTTCTGTTTACACTGTATGTCTTTCAGGAAATACCTACAAGCCTGAATGTTTGTGCTGTGTGTGCAAACAGGAATTCCCTCCATCCCCATACTTCCTTTTTTTCCTCAGAATGGCCATTAATGAATGACTCCCCGTGCATTGAGACCATCATTAATGAGATATGACCTGTGTCTACGCGAGGAGCCCTGAAAGGTTTCTTTAATTAGCACACTACATGTCCTTGTCTTGTCACAGACACAGTAACAGATTACATACATTAATGCACCACACGTAACCACGGTTACCTTGCTGGCTACCGCAGGTCCTCATTACTTGCCTCCTTTGATTCCTGTTCCACCTCTACCAAGTCAGATATGACGAATAGGGCAATGATAATTCAGGATTAAAAAAAAAATCTGCTCTGTGGCAACGTGGCTCCTTCCACGGAAGCACGCCTTCTCATTAACTTGAAAGGCGGCGACATATAGATATGAACAATTAGTCAGACGAACGTGAACCTTTCATCCGAGGATGTGAGGCTTTTGAACGGCCTTTTGTATCTCGGAGCAAAAACATCACATTAGAGCAGAGCGAGTGCTGTGTAATTAAGGTAGTGAGGATGCAATTAGCAGCAGCTTGGATAAATATTTTTCTTGGTGATATTTTAGGTTTCTACCAGGAAAAAAAAAACATTGATGCTTATCATAGAAGTAATTCACCCAGAAATGTAAACTCAGAGATGACTCAAATATATCTCATTAAGGCTCTTTTAAACTATTAGTGTCAGAGTTATAATGCTCAGGTATCAGGTAAACCAAACAGCAGAGAACAAGGCTGCGTCAGCAAGAAATACACTGAAAAAGACACGGTGTAATTATAGAGCTACACATGCTGCTTTCAATGGCTGCAAGATGGAAACTAAAAAATGTAAATGCATATTACAAATTAGATTTAAAAGGCTTATTTGTTTCTTATCATAAATGCTTTAACAAACAAACTGCAATAAAGGTTTTAATGCAAGCACAGCGTTATCAAGCTTTAAATACAGGTGCAGCTTAGAAATTATAATGTGCTGAAAAAAGTGTTTTTTTCCATAATTTAAATCAAACAGTTAAACTTCCATATATTCTAGAGTCATCACACACAAAGTGAAATATTTATGGACAGCAATACAGTTACTGGTAGTTTTGGCGCTGTGGGCAGGTACAAGGAAGATGGGAGTATCAAGGTCTTTAAAATCTCCTGGTAGACTTCAGGCTGCTTTGACTCTGGATTTGAACACAGTGGTCCAACAGCAGTAGATAGTAGATAGTAAAATGTACTTCAATTAGAAAACAGGTCTTTGGATCACTCAGTAAAAGTCCAGCTCTTGTCCGTCTTGCCCAGGTGGGACGTGATCTCTGGTTAAAGGAACACGATTCTTGTCATCCATTTCCAAGTGGCTCTTGATGCTCTGACTCCAGCCTCAGTCCACTCCCTGCAAGGCCCCCCTATAAGTTTATGAATCTGCTTGTTCACCTTTTCCTTCCTCACTTTTCTCCTCCAGTCAACTTTCCGTTAACACATTTCCACACAGCGCTCTGTGAACCTTTGTAGCTTATCCTTCTTGTGGAGGGTGTTAGTGATGGGCACGGCAGTTCTTTTAGATATACTGAATAACTAGAATCAGTTCACTGAAAAGATTTGTTTAAAAGATTCGTTCACCAAATCATTTAGTGTTTGGCTGTGTTGCTTTGGCAAACAGGTTTGTAAGAATAAACTTGTTCATAAGTCATGATGTTTTAAGTGTACTGTCCTATTTTATGCTATTTATAAGGTCTGGACTCAGTGAGTGATTCGTTCAATGAACGTTTCAAACTGAACAAGCGCCGTTACCTTGCAAACTGCAGCAATGATAGGATGCTGTGGGTTTAATGCACTACTTGTTACATGCTGTGTCCTATTGTATGCAAGTTGTTGTGGTGGCAATTTAGCAGAAGAAAAAAAAAAAAAGGGTAGTTTTGTCCGACAAAAATGATTTCAGAGTGTAGTTCAATGCATGATTCGTTCATCAAGTGATTCAGGTGTGGGGTTCCTCGTTCGCTGGCTACTGGTCTGGCAATGTGAAATGAGAAACGAACGAATCACTTGAGGAAGTGATTCGGTTCAGAACGTTCACCTCAAAGATTAGGTTCTTTTGAACGAATCGTTCGCGAACGACACAACACTATTGGGTGTCAATGATCATCTTCTGGACAACAGTCTGCAGTCTCTCCCGTGATTATGTTTTTTTATGGACTCAACCAGAGTGAGAGAATAAAGGCTCTGTAAACTTTTGCAGGCGTTCAGAGTTAATCAGAGTTTATATAACTGACAAGAAACTGGACTTTTTCTCAATATTTTCATGTTTTTTAAAAAAAAAATTCACGAGCTGTACACAGTAATAATCAAGATTCAAAAAGAGGTTAAAAAATTATAGGAAAAAATTAACTTTTCTATGAGTTGCACCTATATATAAGAGCGTGCTCTGTTTCCAGATGTTCATGGAAAGAGCAGCAGAGGGCAGCACACTCTGAGTGTTAGCTCAACACAAACTCTACTCCTCCTCGCTCTGAATCTAATAAATGCTGTGGGATTTCTACTCCAGGATCAAAACATGTGGGCTACATAGAAGATATTTATCTTTAATCTGTTTTCACACACACACACACACACACACACACGCAACTTGTACACACACTCTCTTCCGGGCAGCGTGCAGATATGAAGGTGGGCGGTGATGAATGGCTCGTATCAGCTGAGTGGAGGGGCAGGAGAGAGTTAAATGGACTGTCCTTGTTCTGGGGTCTATGTATGCGCATACATTGTTATATTTTTACCGAGGCCGGTGAAAATCTGGGTTAGTCTGCTTCTCTTCTTTGTGCCCTCTCTGATTTCTATCTTTTCCTCAAAGGCAAAAAGTGCAGCAATCTACAAACTGTACTCAACAAATACAAGATGAAACACTACTCTGTATTTCAAATCTATCAGTGTCCAGCTCACCTTCAGTTTTGAAACTTCTGAGCTGGAAATCTCCTCGAGTAATCTTACTAATCCGACTTTATTTGGGAAAGCACAGTCAGGTTACAGGCCAGTCTTTAAAGTAAGTGGTATATTCAGACTATAAATTATGTCAGGGCCAAAGTAAGCCAAAGCTGATCTGGTCACCCTTACCTCTCTTCGCCAGACTTTGGCTGAAATGTATTTGGCCAGCTGTTGCCTAGCATGAGATGGTGATTGGGTTGGCATCAAGTGTACTGCTTCCCCTCGCCAGCCAACACAAACATCTGCTTTGCCTCCCCACCACCATTTCGCCCAACATCAAACAACAAAGCTCGTCTGCTCCGCTGCCCCCGTGGCCATCCGAAGAATTAATGACCCACCAAGCACATTAGCGGTGCCCTATTGCCCCTTCTTAGCTGGAGCGGGGAATAGGGAAAGCCGTGGCAGGCGAGCGAGGAGAGGGAAGGGGTTAGTGGGTCAGGATGATAGAGTACTTCACAGGTCAGGAATTAAGATGGATAGATTCTATTTTTTATGCAAATTCTCAATATAAACAATCTTGATTTTAGAAATTCAGGATTCTTGAGGTAAAAGTGCGACTTTCTCTTCTTGCTCTGGTTGCAGAGTAAGTCAGCTGAGTCAAGCTGAGGACAGAGGTTATAAAACTAGAAAATGCATGGCTATGAGGGCGCAGCACTTAGAATTAAACGATCTGCTCTTCTGTAAAAATGAACTAGAGGAGGATCCTCTTCCTCATCCTCGCTTAAGTGCTCCCTCTTTTCTCAACTGTTGCTTTCAGGGTGTGGAGAGGAGGACTGGGTTATCTCACTGACTGTAGCCTAAACATACACCCCCAACGCAGCAGAGAAACAGCCCTCATTTCCCTAAACAAAAGAGGGAAAACACTCTTTATGGACAGTCTTGTGAGTTTTAATGGTTTAAACGGGCTGAACAGAGAAGGAAAAGATAAGCGACAGGCCGGGCAGGCTTGGGTCAGTGTCTCCGGTTCCACTTTACAGCCTCCTATTCAATTTCACACAATGTGATCCAGAGACAATGTACAGTGGACTTTTTCATTGCGCAGCAAAGTTACAGTCAAGGCCCCGATCAATCATAATAAATGTTCAAACTGAGATTATAGAGAGTAAGGCTGTGAACAGTTTCTTGTCCTCCATACAGGCTATAACCGTCTCTCCTTTTATGGTGTCTTCTTAGTGGGGTTGTAAGAAATTATCTGTACAGTAAAGTAATGTTACGTTTTGTGACACTAGAAGCTAACTTGTTTTTAATGGACCTGAATGTAAGACGAGTCTGATTCTAAGACGTCCCATCTGAATTTCACGTCGGCGTAAAAATAATCAGTCTCGTCGCTCATAAAAGTAAAAAAAAAAAGACCCATCAATTTAATTCTGGTTCACAAAACGTCAAAAAACTCCTCACTGAAGCTTTAAATGAAAAAATGATTAAATAAATATTTAGAGGAGGCTGCGATCGAGTTACCTCAGAAGTCAGATGTCAGAGCTGAAAATGACGTCACACCCAAGTTCGTGAAAAAGCAAAACCTGAGGCCTGAAACAAGATGGCTACATCCACGAATTTTAGCACTAGTCTTATATTCGGACAAGGCTAGCGCTAAAATAACTTTCGTAGATGTAGCCATCTTGTTTCCGCCCCTGATTTTGCTTTTTTTGACTTGGTAACTGAAATGCTGGTAACTTAGGTGTGATGTCAATTTCAGTTCAGACTTCTGACTTCAGAGGTAACTCTAATGCAGCAAAAGATCTGCTGACAGGAAGTCTATGTCAGGTGG